AGAGGAACGCTAGTAATTAACATTCCACCTCCACCTACTGACAGAATATGGTAAGAGGAACTTAGCTGCAAGGTCTGTGCAGTGTTTCAGGTGTGTGCTACCTAAAGCTAAAATATAGCTGAAATGGGTTCTGGAAGATGTACAGTACAAGCTAGTATGAACTGCTGTTAGGAGTGTGTATTTAACACACTCAAGTGTGTTTTGTTGGAGTGTTGGTAATAAAACTGTCCTGTATACTGTCTCAAGGTATGGCTTTCGAAGACCTCCCTACCTGGAGTTAAAAGCTCGGCCAAAACTTGGTGAGAGAGAAGTCACTCTGGTTCATGTAACTGAATGGATAGAGAGGAAACTGGAACAAGAGTTTCAGGTGTGTTTCCTTAACGTTTTCCCTTCATTAATTATAGCTTTGGTGGGTTCTTAATTTTTCCCATGTTCCCTATTTTGTTCATGACTAGCAGGCACTGCTCCTGTTCAGTGGAATGCACTTTAAAAATTAATCTGACTTCTGGGGTAGTCCTAAGATTCTGTATAGGCCTGGATGGAAATCTGGTCAGCACTTGTCAGAATTATGTTAATCTGAACGTGACGTTTCTGTGAAATAGATGGCATGTCAGATTTTGTAACGTTGAAACAGAAGCATGGTGTGAGTTCTTAGCGGATGGAGGGTCAAGCTGTTTAAAATTAACACCTGAGGCAGTAAGGGCTCTCTTTACTACTTTCTTGAAGATGAAATAATACATTTCAAAGTAGCATATGAAATGTAACTTGATTTAACTGCATCTCTTTCACAGAAAATCTTTGTCATGCCAAACATGGATGATGTTTATATTCCTTTAATGCACTCAGCCATGGATCCCCGCTCCTCTACATACACTCCTAAAGATCTGGTCACGGAGGCCCCTGATCAGCCATGATGTGAAGACTTGCAGTTTACAGTATTATAAAGGTTATTCTCATGGTTTTATAAACTGTGCTGTAGTTATCATCAATTTGTGCCACTTTCCCCTCCCCAGGGTCTGCCTATAACCATACCTTTGTGCTCACTTGCCTGGTTATTGTTCTGTGTACTTCAGCGACATGGTTTCATTCCATTAAGCAGCTGATTTGTTTTTGTACTGGCTACCATCAGGATTTTAACTTGGAGGCTGAGATGACCTGTTCTTCGGGGGAGGGAGGGAGAACCTAACTATAACAGATCAAGGAGCTTGTTGACACAGCTGATGTTTTCATGCTATGTTGGTGTGCGTTAACACATTGAAAGGTTGTTTGGCAGCAAAGAAACTGCGTGCCAAATGAAAAAAAAATCCTAAATAAGGAACGAATTTATAAAAACTGGAAGAATATTTTTCTTTCTCAGGCAGTTGGAGGTGTAGAATGAACTGTTTTATGTTCTTTCACTTCTGCAGTCAATAGCTTGTGTCAAGCAATCAAAATATGAAATGCTTTCAGGATTAAAGAATGTAAATTGGGTGTATAGGTAATATTGTGATTCAGTGTGGTATATACATGTTACTTTTTTCATATAGGACTTGTGCTTTTTTTGGGGAAGCAACTAGCCATAAAACACAGTTATCAGTGAAAGTGGGACTGTTGTATTTTTGTAAATGAGGAGAAAAAAGTTGGTAAAGCCATGAGACCAAACTATAGCAAGCAGCCTTACAGTGAGGTACAATCACCTTGATTCATGATTAATTCTGAATGTTTATAAAGACGTGAGCACACACAGGAAATGTTTAATACTGCACATTACCAGAAGTACTTAGTTACCCTACTGTGTATAGAGCCTCTTGCTATGATGAAACAGTTCTTTCTTATAGGAGAATTTGTTGCTGTGACTCTTCCATTGCACTGTGTTTACATGCAAAGCACAGGACCAAATTTTCACATTACAGCTGTGCAAATCAGTCTCTTGATGTTTGTGAAACAGCTGTAATGGAAAGATTTGACCCCTATGCATTGTTCTTTTGGACTCTGAAATAGGAATTCAAGCTGATCGTGATCTAAAAGACTGTTTCTGCTACTTAACGGCCAAAACTAAGTGGGGGTGTGGGAAACTGCCTTTTATTTCTATCTGGTGTGATGACTCGAGTAAATGTACGCAGTAAATTCGGTATTTGAACACTACATATCCACTACTTAACACACACAATATTTTTCTGATACTTATTGTTGCCAACAGTTCATGGATGTCAGAAAACATTTTAGTTTACACAGGGTGAGTTCCAGCTCTCCTTTTATAACATGATTTGCTTTTTTTTTTTTTTTTTTAAGTAATTTTTTAAGAACTTTTTTGTACTTTGTGTTGTCACATTTGATGTAAATCAAAATTTCCATGTGTAACTTGATGATTTACCATCTTTAAATGAAGCTATTATATTGAAGGTTTTTTAAACAGCACCTTGCCTGAAACATAAAAGAAAACTAGCATTTAATATATTCAAAATTAATTCTATATTTGAACACCTATTTTGGTTACCTTTAATTAAAATATTAGTAGGTTATATTTGTTACCTGAACTCCTCCTTGACCATTCCAGGCTGTGTATATTCTGGGTTCTGCTCTGATTATGTAGGCACTATCTGCCTCTCATGAAGTCTGCATGTCTTGTACGCAGGTCTTTTATATGATTTAATTTTTATGTGCAATAACTAAAGTCAAAGGACTAGATGCACTAATGTGTAAACAGATTTAGATTATTATACGAGACTGTCATATTGCACTTCATAAACTGTGGGTAACTACAGTCTGCTTGCTTTGTTTTATTAAATAAATTTATCTCATCAATTATTCAGTTAATTTCCCACAGTGCTTGCCCCCTCCTTCTGCAGGCTTTCAAAAGTCATTAGAATGCAATTCACTACACTGACTTTTGTTTTTACACCCAAGTTGAGTATCTGAACAGGATAACTACAGCTTATGATTGGAGGGCTGACCCACTTGGAGCCTGCCTTTAGAAGCAGAAACTTGTTTTATCCTCTTGAAGTTCAGCACATCTCAACAGTCTCCTTCCCCCCCCCCCCCTCTTTCTTCACTCCCTGCTGTCAGCATTTACACCAAGACCACACCTTCACAATTTTGTTCTGCACTGAAAAGCCTGAACTGGCTCAGAATCGCAGGAGAGCAGGGGCAGGCGATACCCGCTGCAGTAATCTTGGTGTGTGACCTTAAGCTTCACCTTGTAGCCTTCTGTACCTCAGCAGCTCCTCAGCCTCCCGTGCTGCCCTCAGTGTGGCTGCACACATCGTTCTCCATCCTGCAGCCATGGCTCCAGCCTTGCTGCCTGCAGGACACCAAGCCCCCAGCTGTAACGCAGGGTAAGATGCAGGCCCTGAGAACAGCCGCAGCTTGGATCAAGGGATTCAAGTCTCCCTTTTGCTGTACGCGTAAAAAGAGACTCCAACAATCGGCTGCAGAGCACACAGAGCTGCGTCTTTCCAACTCGAGCGCTCGCCTTGGCTGCGGTGCTCTATTCCTGCTGCTGCAGGGGCTGGGCTCCCTGCTCTCATCACCGATCCGGACGCCATATCCTCCGTTCTCACCCCACCCCTCGCCCCCCCTTCGCGCATGCGCGCTGTGCATTGCTGTTAAAAGCGTCGCGCGGGGTGCGCCGCGCAGCGCCAGTTATGGAACAAGGGCTTCGCTCTGGCACTGCTGCTTGGCCGGCGGCGCCGCGCGAGGGCACTCCGCCGGGTCAAAGGCAGTGCGGGGAGAGGAGCGCGCACGAATTAGCAGGCAGACACATCTGAGGGGTCGCACAGCTTTATTGACCGCGCCGCTCGTCGTTCGGCCCCTGTAAGACACAGAGCGGAAAGGAGAGGTTACACGAGTGGTGCGGGGCAGCCGCGCCGCGGGATGCGCAACAGCCTGGGCGCTCAGATATCGGTTTACTTCATCCGTATCAGAAGTCTAACACGCGTCTAGAGACATCAGCGCCGCCCAGCCCCGGCCGCCCCGTCCCGTCCCCGTCCCCCTCCCCCTCCCCCTCCCCGACCGGCACTGGCAGCCAGCAGCGCTCACCTCCATGCCCTGCGCAGACGGAAAGGCCGCGCTGCCGCCTCGCGCCTCTTTATAGTGCTCCCATTTCGCCACGCCCGCCCCTTGCTCGTCTCGGCCAATAGGATTCAGAGCTCAGGGCACGTGCCGGGCCGGAGGAGGTGAGTGTCCAATAGGATTCAAACCCGGGGTCACGTGCGGAGCCGTTGGCGCTGAGTCGGCGGCGGGCGGAGCGGCGCTGCGCCACATGGCGGCCGAAGAGGGAGGCGCGGTGAGAAGGTAAGGCTCTGAGCGAGCCTGTGTTCGGTGCCCTGACCGCCGCCTGGGGACGTTCCGGAGAAGCAGAGCGCTTCTATCGAATGCAATCGTTTGGAGTTCTGGTGCTCGAACGCTTCGCTGTAGCTAAGCAGCAGCGCTTACCAGTGTAGGCCCCGCTCGGAGCCCCGGCGGTGGTTCCTCCGTCCCCGGAACCCCCGGCCGTACCCCCGTACCCCGCCCCGCCCCGGTCCTGGGTCTCCCCATGTAAATAACTGTGTTTCGTGGTGGTGCGAGCGCTGCGTGCGCGACGGGAGAAAAGCAGAGCCCTCATCCTTTAGCGCAGCGCTGTGCACGCCGCGCTTTGCGCTCACAGTGCCTTGCGGTTCTCCCATCCGCTGCGCGCGTGCAGGTCTGCTCATAGCAGCTCGGGCAGCGCTAATGGCCGAGGGAAGCGCGTCGTTGTATTGACTTCGGGCGCTACGCTACGCAGCAGCGACTGCCGGAGCCGTGCTGATAGCCGGGGCTCGATCTGCTCCACGGGGAAGGAGCACCGGGCTGAGACGCCGGCGGCCGCACGGCCCCGTCGAGCGCTCCTCCGGCGGCACGAGCCCTGCGCCAAAGCCGGCACCACCTGGGCGCGCCCCCGGCTGACGTCGTCGGCCCGAAGCCGGCGGCCCCGCCCCGCCGCGCGGGGAGCGCCGGACACGCCGCGGCCGGCAGGCAGCGCCGCGCTGGGGGAGCGGCCGCGGTGGCAGCCATGGAGCCGCTGCGCCGCCCGCCGCTCGGCCTGGCCGCGGTGCTGCTGCTGCTGGTACTCTCGCCGAGCCCCGGGGTAAGCGCGGCGCGGGCTGGGGCTGATGCCGGGCTTGGGAGGGCGGGCGGCTCGGCTCGCTGCGGGGCCGGCTGGGGAAAGGCCTTTTTCGGGCGGACCGGGCCCCGTCCCGGGCGGCAGGCGGAGTGACCCGCTGGGCTGCGACAAAAGTTGGCCGGAGCTGCCGCGGGTCCGAGCTTGGCCGCCTTCGGGAGGGACTGAGCTCGGCGCCGTGTGCCCGCCTCGCCCGCGGTGGCCGTCAGCGCTCCGTGCGGCTGTGCGCTGTGTGCGCGGACCTGAACGCCTAGCGCGTAAAATCCCTCGAAATATCCAAATGTGGTTAATTTTCTTTAAAGTTGCCGCTGACAGTAGGGTGAGTAAACTTTTGCATGCTGAAGCTTTGTAGGTGGGTAGTGGAACTTGGGAGGGTTCACTTCGTTGCTCCAATTGATACGGCTGTAACCGCACGGGTGGAGGGCCTTGTTTGCTTTGTGAGCAGAGCCCACCTGTGCTCGGGTTCAAATGCAAACGCCGGGGGAATGTGGCCCAATCCCAGCTTGGACACTTTGATCGTTCTCCTTCCAGAACAAAGGTAGCAGCGCGTGCTGAATTTGCAGGTGGTTGGTTGGTATTCAGCGGAGGCTGTAGTTCAGAATTCAGAGGTGAAAGACAAGCGTGCAAGTTGCTGCAACGCAGAACGTTTTAAGAAGTAACCAGTTTAGTTATAAGCTATTGCATGAAGCAGAAAGAGAAGGACCCGTAGCGAAGCCAACCCAAAGTGAATGGAACACTGAGCAGATTGCTGCGATGATTGTAAGCAGCGTACCTTAAAATGGGGGCTGTCTGTTGCATATAAAATCAGATGGTGTCCCACAGTACTGGTCTGAAAGATGTTTTGCTTTGTAAGTTCTTAGGATGGGGTCACAGCATGGAAGGCCAGCTGGCATTTACTGCTTCCATTGTATCTGAGCGCAGCCAGGTTTTACACTATGTTCCTTCCACTGTGTTCCTTGCTTATTGTTACTTGAACATACAGGTGTAATGCATGGGGTTACAGTTCTGGTTAAGCAAAGCTGCAGGCTTTGTTTTTCATCTAGGATATAGTAGCTCCACTCCCATTCTTTAGAAGTAAACACCCGTGGGTAATGGAGCTGTGTAATAGAGTTGTTACTTGAGCAAGAAACTGGGAAAAAAAAAAGTGTCAACAAAAATGACATGAAAATTGTTAGTGAAGAATGCTAATGGTTCTAGGTTACAATATTTTGCAGTGGGAACTCTCGTGCAATCCACAGTTTTAAAAATCGTACTCAATAAGAGTACTAAAAAGTATTTTAAAACTAACAATAATTTAAAAATCAACAGATTAAAACTAGGTTCTGTGTAGTTTTTATTTGCAGACACAAAAGCCTGGGTTTGGGCCCAGGCAGAGCTCTGCACTCCTGCTCTCTGGGTTTCCCTCCTCTCCCTGTCCCTCAGTCTGGTATCTGATCTGGGGTTCTCCTCTTCTCGCACGAGTCCTCGCCTTCATCCCTGGCTGAGATCGATTTCTGTCTGAATACATTTTCATTTCTTTGATTCTAGTCTCAGTTACTCATCATTAACACATTTCACTGGATCTGCTCATGTCACATGAGAGATAAATGCCCATGAAATAGGCTGACATACAATTCTTGGTATTGAGGGAGCGTGAAAAGCACGAGGCTGCCTAAAGATCTGTGCAGCTCGTGCTTTCTATTAATTTCTTTCAAGGCTACAGATGATGGTTTGCTGCTGCGTATTTTCTTTGATCAATGTACTTTATATCCTGGCTTTAATAGTGCTTTCTTTTACCTTACATGTTCCTTTAAGGGCTTTCTTTCCCATCTTTTCCTTGCAGTATGAAATCCCATCCCTTGCTATTGAAACGACAGACTGAACAGCTCTTGGAATTGCCCTGGCAATACGTGGGAACACGTTATAAAAGTGTGAAATCTCAGATGCAGCAATGAGAAGTGCAGTAGAGCCATTAGGAAATAAGCAGTCAGTATAAATGTTATATACTGCTGATTTACTGCTCTCTGTAATTTGGAAAAAAAAAACCAACAAACTTATTTCTGAGCCATGGAGTAATCATGATAGAAATGTTCACTCTTTCCTCATGGGTTGTGTTGCAGCCAGACATCCCAGACTTTTCCCATTTTCCAGCATGGAGTTGCTGCTGATCAGAAGTAGTAAACTCTCTGGAATGAATCTGTCACTTAGAGCACAGTGCTGCTCTGCCTTGCTGCCTCTGGGCTGGTGTCAGTGCTGTTACATGGGGAGGACAGGCAGCACGTGGGGCTGTGCTCAACATGGGAATAACCCCAGCCTTACCCAGGTGTCGTTTCTTCTAATGTGTTCCTTATCTCAGCCGGCGTTTGGCCAGTTAGCTGAAAGGTGTGAAAATCTATGCAGGACTACAGAAGGTTTCACTGAGGACATCTTCAAGAGTTAATTAATTCACATTAATATGTTCTGAATTGTGGGTCTCCTTGGTTGCTCACTAAAACCACTCGCATGCTGGGGTCGGTTGGTAGGTGGTTGAGGAATACAAACTCGCCTTGCACACCTAAAGCTCCAATGGCCAGCTCTGTCTTGAAGTAACAGATTAATATATTTATAGCCCTGTTCTACTCATTCTGATTGGTAGCATCTTGTGAAACTGAACTAAGCTTTGCTTTTACAGACTGATCCTTGTGTGAGCTTGGAGCTTACAGCGCAGGGCATCACTCAAGGTTCCGTCAAGTCAGAGGGCAGTTGTGAAGGACATCCCATAGTTCTGCATTTCCTCTTGTAGTTTCTTTGTTGGCAGCTTTCTTTCATACATTAACTATTTTACTGGAGAGCTTCCCCCGACAGTTCACTGACGGGGATGGTTTCTCCCTGGTGTGGTTTGTTATGCCTGCTGAGCTGCAGCCCGTAGGCTGGCAGTGCTGTCACAGGGTGGCTGTCCAGGGCTGATGGATCTTGGGCTGTCCCTGATGAATATGGCCATTGCGTGTGCCGTGCTGAGCTTGATAAGGGATTTACTGTGCCTCCGTGCTGGTTTGTCTGCTGTGCTTCCAGCAGCACAGCTGGTCTGGACCTCGTCTTGGAGAGGAGAGCATCTGGTGCTGTTCGTGCTGAAGCTGTTCCTTAGTAATTTTTTTAGTAAAATGCAAATGCACTGACTGATATATATTAGACTAATTATATATTGAGGAGTGTAGGCATTTTTTTCTTGAGAGAGTGCATACATCTCAGCTCTTTTGTTTGGTAGGCCAGGCATTAATGAGGAAGTTAGTAGAATTGAAATGGTGGGTAGCAAGTAATTGCATCCTTCATCTTCCATCAGACCAGACAAATTACACGTGGTGTGTATGTACTCCTTTAAGACTCAGAGAAGAACAACACTACCTGGTAACAGCACCCTGCTTTGTTTACTGGCAAGCACCGAAGTGTTCCTGTGAAATCAGTGTCAGTTCCCAGAGTTAGAAATCGAGCATCACATCCACTGTCGATGCAGTGTTTTTCTGTTCTGTGTTTGTGTGTGAGAAGCAGCCTCCTGTGCTGTCAGCCCCGGAGCAGACGTATTTCTGGGTTACACAGCGATCCCCTCCAGGAGCCCAGCAGCCTGCTTTTCTATCTGCTCTTACCCACAGGCTTCAGGGGAGGTTGTGCAAACTCAGTAACCTGCATTTCAGAAGGGCTGTTTTTAAGAAGATAAATTAATGGAAGAAATGACTCCTGTGGGGATCTGTTTTCTTCTGGCACAATAAAACAAATTAGGGCACTGCTGTGGTAAGCCTTGAAAACATGTGAAGTGCTGCAGTGAGTTCAGATACCATCTCTGACACTGAACTGTACCACAGGCCTACAAACACAGCCAAACTTGTTCTGCAGCTTTTGCTGTCCTTCGTTTCGCTCTTGGGTCATTCCGACTTGTTTGGAGTCATTTTGTTTCTTTGATTTCTAAACCACCATTTTATCTGAAGATGTGGTAGGCTTGGAGAGAGGGGAAGATCCTTGCTGTAGTCAGTTAGCTGGTATCTGTAGATAAATGCCCTCGTCAGTCCCGTGCTTCAGGCTCTTACAGATTCTTAGCAAACAGCGCTTTGGAACATTTGTCAAAGTTTAACTCAGTGAGCGCATAACTGTTATTAGAAATGTGTTCTGAATTAATTTATTTTAAAAAATCATTGAAAAGCAGTCTGCAGATAGTCTGAAAATCCTGCAAGTCCTTCTGATGTCACTGCTGTGGTGGAAGATTCTTATGAATACGGAATGTCAGAGCTCTGGAACTCACTGAATGCCAGAGAGGCTCCTCGGTACGGTTTCACACACAGTAACAGAAGAACTAAAAGAGGTTTTGTTTCTGCTTTGTGTTCTGTGCCCATGAAGTTGAGCTCTTTTTACTCAGCAAACTCACACCCTGCCACGTTCTTGCATTGAGCTGCATCTCCTCGGTGTAAAACAGCAATGTAAAGTCATTGCTCTCAAGGATTTGCACTGCAGCCCAAGTCAGACCCCATCTGCTGGGAGCACCAAGTCACAATGTCTGCACACTGGTATTTGTAAAGACTCTATCCCAGGACTGAGATTATTATGGGTTTTTTGGTTTTGGTTTGAAATGGTTCACACAAAAATGGCAGTTGGTTTGGCTTTTTACATACACATTTTTGTTGTTTTTCGTAATGGTGCTAAGTCCAGACTTCAGTTAATCCATTAATCAATCAATTGCAAAGTTTATCCTAAAAATAAAATCCATTCCATATTTGCAACCTTGGTACTGCAGTCTGATAAAAGAAAAGCCTGCTTTTATTCCCAAGTGAAATACAGGTAATTGCCTGTTCATTTTTGAGTTTTGTTTTATGCCACTTGTGTGAATAAAGCCTTGTTTCCATTCTATTGTGCTGGTTCCCTAAGTCTTTCTCAGGTGCTACTGGAGATATTTGACAGAAGAGATCAGCAATATTGCACTGAAAAGACCAAAAAAAGCCGTGATTTCAGATCTCAGTCCTACCTGGAAGGCTGCTGTGTGGCTCTGTTACGTGGGCAGCACTCAGGTGTTCATCTTGCTTTCTGCTGAAACTGAAAGGGAGAGCTGGCTGTGCTTGGCTGCAGCGTTCAGCGTGTTGATGTGCTGGAGGGGATTCCTGTGCCTGCAGAATGCACTCTGCACGTCCAGTGCATTGCCCTCAATCCCCAGAACCAGCAGCCTTTCCAAACATCGGTCATCTGGACAATAGTATTGATTACTGGTGTTTTGATGGGAGTTTCAGAGCTCACATTTAGTTCCATCGTCTTTATAACCTTGGTTCCAGCACAAGCAGCAATTCATATGCTCCCATGTTGAGTATTAGGACTGTGGAGCTGCAGCCAGTAGCGTGCCATACCTGCGTATGCACTAGATTTGGGATCTAACTGCACTCATTAGGGTCTTTGTTCTACAGATGGGTTTATTTGTGAAGAGGATGCAGACTTGTATTCTGTTCTCAATAGGAGAAAGGAAGTGAAAATGCTGAGAATATATTGATTCTGTAAGATAAAGAGACTTGTGCAGAGAGTACATGTTTTGCAAGTACCTCTGCAGTGAAAACAGGCATTTGTTTGGAAGGAGGGAGGTGCAGTGTGCTTTGTCAGAGGCCTGAGTAAAAAGCTGCATGCATTTTTTCTCCCAAATTTTGCATTTTGTTGTGATTTCTTCCTTGCACTCATGCAGATATGTAGTGAGCATTTTAACCAGCTGCCTTCTGTCTGGCATTGAACAACATCTGGCTGCTGTGGATGATGGTTAATTAGCTGTAATTAACCTGATGGGCCAATTTGTGCAAGTTGTTAAAGCAGAGCTGGAATATTCATTCAGTGGCTTTGGTTCATGTTCTTGTTCAGTTCCCATTTTGTAAGCAGTCAGCTTTGCTCAACTGTGGCTGTTGTTCCATTTCTTGCTTTCTGCCAACGGAAGAAATTAAACGTGTTACATCGTATCTAAACTGTGTGTGAGTTTAAAAGTGAGCCAGCTTTTCAACATTCTTAGGGATAGGATGAAGGAATTCCTTGTCTGTCATCAGTCACTGCTAACTGGGATTGTTTGGGATTGTTTCTAGTAAAATATGTTGCGATCTTCAGCTGCAAATTAATACGCAAGTCCAGAATGTTACTGCACAAAGGCTGATTTCCAACTAATTTTGAATACAGTCCATTCCTTCTGATTTTCATCATGATGCTGTTATCAGCACGTGTTGGAAATTCTGCTCTTCATTAATTGCTTGAATCCAGGATGATTAGGAATGAATGTGAATGTTTCTAGGAAGGCATTCAGCATTTATGCCTTCTTTCTTTCTGCCCTGTGTGCCCAGTTTCCACTCCAGCCTTTTCATTGTGGCTGGGAAGAATTGTGTGTAATGTTTGTAGGTGATTCTTCTAGTTCTGTGCTTTCCCTCAGTCTGATGCTTTAGCTGCAGTTTTCCAAAGAGGCTGTTACTGCAATACCCAGGAATCTTAATTTGCATTTTCTTTGCAATAATTCTAGCATGACTAGTAGTTTTTTTCAAAAATTTAAGTCATTTAAGACATTGCTGGTTATGTAAAATGCATACACTGTCATTTCATGAGCTACAGTGGGTTAAGAGTTATATTTAACAGTGAAACTTTCTAGTGGTGGCAGGTGGCACACAGACGAGCAGTGCACAAATTACTGCTTATTTGAGCAGTAACCTGGGACTCAGTAAATGGGAATGTGTCGGCCTTAGGGTGTGTAAGATCATCTTTAGGCAGGAAAAGCAAGCATGTGATTAATGTGGGTTTTTTTCCTGCTCTGTGTACTGAAACACCTTGGAGTTATCCTCACTGATCTCGCAACAGCTTCATAGTTCTGAGTCCTCAGTGTTGGGGTGATGTCCTTGTAATAAAATGGCATGCAATGTCCAGGCTCAAAAGCTGCCTGTGCTGTAGAAATAACAGCAGGCACCTAACAGCACTGTGCCTCAGTGTGAAGAATGGAGAGGCATTTCCCCAGTGGCAGAGCGATCAGAATGCCAGGTTAAGGCTTGAGTCCTGTAGCATGAATTACTTTCTAGGGCCTACAGATGTGATCATAGACGTGGATTTGCTTAATGCTGTTTGGGGCAGAAATGCATTAATTGGAGACCTGAGATGCAGTAACACGCTGAAGAGACCTTACTCCTCCTACCTTTATGCTTCAGTCCTAAGTGCTTAGTCCTTGCTCAGAGCTGGTCATGCAGCTCCAGCTCGTCCCTCGGCTGTTGCCAACCCTGCAGAGCAGTCTTGTTGTTTCCTATCCCACCTTTTACCCAGCCACGTTTTTCTTATCTTCTGGGGACTAAATCTTGGCAAAAATACGTTCTGTTAGCTTTGTAGTAGCATGGTTGTGACTTGAACACTTGCATTCCCTGTGCTGCTTTGGAGTTCCTTACCCTGGGTCTCTTCTCACATGGGCTTTGCTTTCTGTTTGTTTCCTAAGTTGTCCCTATCTGTGTTTTCTCCACAGCCTAGTGCAAGAAGGCTTTGATATCATATTGAATATGGAGTTGGGGATAGGTTACTCACTGCACGTTTGTCTGGGGGAGCAGAGTGCAGTTAGCAGTCCTGTGGTGGTCACAGAAAAAAATCCCTGAATTCAGAAGGACAGATTGTCCAGTCTGTGTGATGAAAATAAAGATGATGTTCTACAGAATTTACTGTCTGACAAGGCAGTAGTAAAAAACTGTAGTAAGCAGTGACATTCAGTGTATGGGTTTTTCTTTTCTAGAATACCAGCTCAGTAACTGTGCCTGAAACACTCTTGTTTGTTTCAACTCTTGATGGAAGTTTGCATGCTGTCAGCAAGCGGACGGGAGCGATCAAGTGGACTTTAAAAGAAGGTGAGGAGATGTCCTGGTGCTCTCTCTTTTCAGTGCTAGAATTGACAACTCAAACTGTTGTAGAGCCTGGTAAATACTGAAATACTGTTTGTTTATTTGCTTGTTTTTTCTTTCCTTTTTTTTTTTTTTTTTGCTTTTGCTCTTTCTCCAGACTCTGAATGAAGCTGGTGTTTCTGAAGTCGTGCTGAGCTTCGTATTTTGACTTGCAGGTCTTTTTCCACATTTGTGGTTTTCTTGTGCATGGTTTTGTTGTTTTTTTCCCCAGAACACTTCAGCTGTAGTGCTGTCACTGGCTAAGTAGGAATCACGTTATGCTATGTGAGAGTGAGTGCCGTGTAAGAATGCATAGAGAGAGCAGATGTCATCTCGTGGGACTGTCGGCAGAGGAAGCTTGATTTTTATCCCTGAAATCTCCAGCATGCAGTGGATGGGGTACACACATCGCATCCTTTTGTCTAGAAACAGCACAGGGTTTTACATGAAAGAGCTGCACTCGGGTACAGAAATTTAACATTGCTCAGAGACTGGAGGCGATTTTGTAATTTCAGTTATTTTGTAGAGAGCTCCTTTTGTCTGTGACAAATTCAGTGTTTAATACGAACTTGTTTTAGTGGGAATCTGATTACATTTAGTAGAAATGATAGCAGAACTTTCTCTTCGTGTCTGGAAATGAATGAGAAAGCAGGTCAGGTGGAAAGGAATCGCAGTGATTGCATAGTTCTGACCTGATGAAACCTCGTGTCAATTTAGTAGGTGAACTGAAATGGTGTGAAATGAATTGTGCATACTGGATGTATGCAATACAAACCAGTTATTCTTAGTTCTGAGACCACTGATATCTAGATACAATGTGGCTAGACAAAAAGTTAACTTCACTAAGGAGCAAAAATTGGTTTTGTAGCTATTCTTGGGGTAAAAAGGGGTAAGCACGTTCTTTCTTAAAGGATCTTTGTTGCTGGATGTGATTATATTTTCTCCCTGCTGTCTCCCCTTTTAAATTTAGACCTATCCTCCTCCTTTATTGTTGCTGTATAGGCTATTGTGGTTTTAACAGAAGCATTAGCTGGCTCTTACTTCTGCATTGGATGTACAGTGCATTGTCCTAAATCAGAAGGGTGTTGTAAGCAGCTTTTTTTTTTTTTTTTTGGCAGACAGCTTAGGAAGTGGCAGGAGATTTCTTGAGGAAGAAATAAAGGCACTTTTGTAGTGAGAAGGGCTTCAATCAAAGTGTGTTGCTCAAGGAAATTTTTTCTTTGAAGTGTTGCAAGGCTATTGTTCGTACAGTGGAATGACAAGACTGGATAATCTAGTTTTATAGGACTACCTGTTCTCTCTGTCACTGTGTTAAGTTCTGTACGCTGCCCACATCAGGTGTGTTAGGGTGCTTCATCACGTTATGTCCCTGGAGAAATGTAACAGTGCAGAATTCCATGTTAATGCCTGCACGCAGCCTCTGTGCGTCTCTTTGCCAGCAGCAGGAGCGCACTGTTGCATGGAATTAACAGAAGGGAAGCAGCACACACTGCAGGCCGAGTTCTTGCAGGTGCTGCTGTCCCTGGGCTGTCGGTGAGCCATGTGCTGTGCATCTCACGTGTGCAGAGGAGTTGTGGAGGTCACTGCAGGAAGAGGTTTTTATCAGCGCGCTTAGCAGCGGTATTTAACAAAGGGCAATTGTATGCATTTTGTTTTGATTGGGAGAAAAACCAAGGTGGTGCTCTTTATCAGACAGTGCTTAAACAAACACGGCAATCTTGCCATGTATGGTTAGTTTTAATGTAAGGCTGGAACTTATCATAGGTATGCAGAGCAAATGAACCGCTGGTTATCAGCACGATAATGTGTTTGGGTTTCCTGCCTTTGTGTAGTGCTGCCAAGAAGGGCAGTCAGAATGCTTGTTCTCCCCATAATGCAGGCAAAAATGGATTCAGTCAGTAGTTCAGAAGTACAGCTGTATTCCTTGCAGGGATATATAGGCAGGTTGTGGACTTGTTTGCTGAGGGTACAGGTATGAATGCCTTCATTTCCTGTTGGCTTCTGTGGGCCTTGCAGTCTGTCAGCTGTCAGGGCGTTGGTGGCTGCGTAACCAACTCATCCCTTGAGCTGTGGAATGGAGCTGGAGAATCTCCTCCTCCTTCATGTCAGATTTCATTTACAATTCTGGCATCAGTGGGAGTTTCAAGAATGTAATCTTAAGTCTGTACTTTTCTTTTGTGTCTTCTTAAAAATCATCCTGTGCTACTCTTTGTACTTCTGTACTTCGTTAACTCCAGAGTTAAGTTAATGAGCAGAATATTGAAATATGGTATTCAAAGTATGTAATATTTCAAACTGTACTTTCAGACCAAATATTTCTCTGTTCTTCTGTCAATCACAAACGTGTCTTTCTGAACTCTTCAGTTACCTGCTTCTTAAAAGGTTTTTCTCTAGGAACTGGTTCAAGGAAGAGCATAAAGTACATACAGATTTGGGTCTGGATTTAGAGTCTGCAGAAGCCTTATTATGAACTGCAGTTATCTTTAGCAATCAAAAAAATCTGTAGGCAACAAAAGTTGATTTAAAAGGTTTTGATCGGTGATACCTCACAACTTATTGACAACAGTGGACTGGTCACAGTAAGTCAGAGGTATAAAACCTTTATTCATCAATAGATGATATCCAATATGTAAATTTGAAAGGACTGCTCTGAGATCTGTAGGTCCTCTCTATTAGAAGAGCTTATTCCCAGCTGGGAAGAAATACTTTGTGCGTGACTGCTGACTAATAGTGACTGTCAGAACGATTGTAGAACGGTTCTCTTTCTATCACATTTCAGGATGGTGGGTTACTGTCTCTAACCTCATTTTCTGTAATTGCAACAGCAAGCAGAGATGACACGATTTTAAATTGGCCCGTTAGCCCAAATGCTATGGAAGGGCCTCAGGTCAGGAAATCGTTTCCTCCAGCTCATTCCACTGGGGCAGGAGTTTACTCGCTTGCTATTTCAGAATCTTCCACTTCTCCTTTTTCAGTTATTGGTTTTGCATGTTCTATCTAAGGCACATCACAGCGATGAAGATGTGCTGCTCTGTCTTGTGCATTAAAAAAGGCCCGTTCTTGACCTGGGTGAGGAGCAGATTTTGACTTGATCACGTTTGTGAAATATGGAACAAAGTCAAAGGGCCGTTGTTTCATGTTGTGGTTTCAAAAATTGTCTCTCTGGCTTTTTTCCATATATGTATGCAAAATATGGTTAGAATTGCAAGCAAGTAATATAGGCACAAATAATTTCTGGTCATAATGCAACCATGATTTTATAGGGGCATCTACTTGCCCAGGTCAGAATGTTCAGTTCAGTGGAGTATAGCTGAGCCCAGTAATTACCAAAACGTCTCTGACATAAATTACACCATCAAGTTTCCAGTAACTGCTTTGCTTTTGAACACAGTCTTAGAGCTCTAGAATAAATCTTTACAATTTAGAACCAGTCCTTTTGCTTTTTTTGAGTCTGTTTTTTTCAGTCTAACAATTTAAAATCGAAGCCTTTCAATTCTTAGCGAATAGTGACTTTGTAGTTTCATAATGACACAGAAAAAGGTACCAGCCATCTTAACAGTGCTGTTATTCTTCGCGTGCCCTTGAACTTCCTGTGCTTGGGGGGTGCTAATCTGCTAAATGAATTTGCTGAGTACTGCGTGGCAGTAATTTCACAAATGCATGTGTGCATTACCAGGTCTGAATGCCAAACCTAGGGTGTGTTGGTAGGATGTCAGTGCCGGAGTGGTTCACGTGCTCTGCCTTAGTGGAGTCTGCAGGGAAAAACAATTGGAAAACCATGGAAGTATCTGTAGAAATGTCAGTCTTTCATTGAGCACTGGAACACGTGCAGGATGGTGTCTTGCTTGCTACCTCATGGTTCCATACTTCATTTTGGTTTTGATGACTTTTTGTTGGGAAACAGAAAGCTTTGGGGTAAGTTGTGCCAAATGATTTATGTAGGTTATTGCAAGAAATTTGGTTTTCCTCTGTACAGGGAGTGGAACTGTAGGGAGGGGCAGATGGGTTTAATCAGTTTTATCACATTTTCTCTGTGAAGTTTTTGTTCTCATGTTGAATACTTGCCACCTTGTTGAGTGGCTGTTATCGTTTGTTGGTATTGGAACAGATTGGGGCAATTAGAATGAGTTACATAATTACAGGGTGCAGTTGTTGAGGGAGATTTGGAAAGCAGGGTATGTGATTCCAGTCTCAGCATGTTAACTCTTGATTGCTGAGCTGCTGAAGAGAAAAGAAGGCCTCTGAGTTCTGCAAGAGTGTCTTCCATTTGACTCAGTGTGGAGCAGAAGATGAGCTCAGTTCAAAGATGATTCACTGTGGCTTTTCACCAGTTGGTATTCAGGTGGATGAAAGCTATTGCAGGACCTGACAAAAAGTAAATTCACAAGTTTCTTTTATCTCTGAGTGAAATCTTATTTCAAAACAAACTTTGAAATAAAAGTGGAATAAGTCCCAGACCATGTGAAGGTGAACACGAGGACAGACATGAACTCCTCAGTGTCTCTGTAGGCCCCCACCCCGACTTCAAGATAATGTAAATGTGAAGAAAGTGAGAAAATGTGCATCACCCCTATAGCTGGGGCTGTAGGGAGGTGTCTTTCCAGTGAGCCTTTCCAGGTGGAAAGTGCCACTAGTGAAAATTTCAGTAACTTCAGAGAAAAAACTTCCTCCATCTGTGCTCATTCATTGCAAATTGTCCCTTCAGTGGAAATGAATCAGGACTGCGTGCCTGGATACAAAATGCTTTCCAGCAGTTCATATACAGCACTTAAATGTTGCAGGGAACCACAAGAGTCATCAGTGTTCTGAGTCCTGTGCCAGTAAATACTGCAGAATTGTTCTGCTGCTTCGTAGCAGTGGCTTAATCTGTTCCGTCTACACTTTATCGCTGCTGCTACATCCGGTTTCAGTTACTGAGAAAACAAAAAGGAAGATTTCAATTTTATTCCACTTCTGATGAAGCACCATTCTCGATACTGAAAACATGATACTAGAGAAGAAAAATGTAAGGACTGAAGTGAGCGTGATGCTTCTGTATGGGCACTCATTGAGCAGCTTGGAAGCCTTCATTTCATGTATTCTGATACACAGGAGTGTTCTGGGAAAGCTCGCTGCAGAAGCTGAAAAGACACCTGTGGATTTCTCTTATGATCACGTAGAACGCATTTGTTGGTGAAATTGTTGTGACTGACAATAAGCTATCTTCTTTTGCTTCGCCTAGGCTGACTGGAGGGCAGTGTATAAAGCAGTCTGCGTTTCTGTACTTGCAGAGTGCACACGTAGCCAGTTATCACTTCAGAAACAAGTTGTGCAGCTTTGTTATCGTGAGTGATCGCTGGCGATAGACCAAGTTGTGGAGGCACAGTTGGTGACGACTGTTGTTGTCATCCTCACCACAGGCAGTGGGTTACTTTTTCCAAGTGAGACATTCTCTGTGTAATCAGTTCATCGAGAGACTTGCAAAGTTTATTTGGCTTTTTACCTTTTGCAGCATCTGCAGCACTGGCATTAAATGTTACCCTAACTGAGGCAGGTGCCGTTTTCTGCTGATGTGTGGTGCTGTTTCTTTCAGGAAGCAGAGGATTTAACTTCCTATGAAGCACTTACGGTTACGAAACCCCTACCCTGTGGTCGTTAAGGTGTCTTTCTCACTTCAGCTCATTTCAGCTGGACTCATGGGTACTTGCTTCGGGTACTTGGACTGGGCTCATCTCCAGAGCTGAGCCCCTTTATGTAATGGTCATCTAATGCTTTTTCTTTCTTGCATTTCTTTAGTAGAGGAGAGATGATGCAAGTCACCATTTGCATTGCATTAGATATCCTAAAGCTTGTGGAATGCTTGAAGCAAACACAGAGAAATAATTGGCATATGATCAGCTGTAAGTTTGGATCCTCCAGCATACCCTGAAAACAGTTTCTTCCTGCAAGGGCTAGTAATGAATTGCGTGATGTAGATCAGTGGAGTAGTGTGATCTGTAGGGTAGATACAGGATGATAAACCCCTCAGCTTCTCTGAATGTTGGTAGTTGTTTGTAAGGACTTTTGATGTTTGCTTCTGTTTTCAATAAATTAAGTGGATTTCTTGATGTGATTTGGAGCTGTACACTTGCATATCATTCCCATCTTACATCAATAAACAGTGATAGCAGTAATAATTCATTATTGAAAGAAAAACTGTTCAAGATAGGTTGTGTGAATAGATATCAGGGCCTGGGATTGGTGATTGTACCAACTGGATTGTTTCAGCTTTTTGCTGCCCTATGCATGAGGCTTGGGTACAGCTGATGTGAGCAGGCTGTTTCTTCTGCCTCTTTTGGGGCCCACTGTAGGATTGGGGAAATGGTCCAAAGTCCACATGCACTGCTGAGGTGTGTGTTCTCCAGCACCAGAGGGCATTGGTTGGGATGTGGGGAGGGACTGCGCAGTATGCACAGCCTGTCTGCTAACTGTAGCTTGTGTTTAAGTAAAATAGGTTGCTGAAGGCTGTGTAATGACAGCAGTTTCTGCAAATTATGGTGAGCTGCCTCCTGGGCAACCAGTGCCCAGAAATCACACGTTGCTGACAGCAAGAGCTCTCATGAGTATTTATGCAAGCAGTTCTAACAGACTGTGCTCCAGCCAGGAGTGAAATAAGAAAGCTCAAAGTACGGCAGAGAACTGCTGTCTCATCTGCGTTTCCTTCCATCGGTAGCTGGGAAGTGGTGTGGATAAAAGTAAGCAAAGAACTTCAGGAGCTGTAAGCACTTCTCAGATGCTGGGCACTTTCCCATTTTACAAATGTGGTTACAACCAGGTTACAACCTCACTGAGGCTGCTGGGATGCTCCTTGCAAACTCAGTGCGTCAGCCATTCGACAAGCAGCAGAGTTGAAGGAACCAAATATCCAGTATTACGACTTTTCTTTCTTCTGTTTATGCAGATCCTGTCCTGCAGGTGCCAATACATGTGGAAGAGTAAGTCTGTTTCTTTTCTGTCATTTATTGCTTGTGGCATGTTGAGATTGGGTTTATTTTGAAACAAAATCCTGTGCGTTCTTGGAAGGTGTCATACCTTGTGCATGTGAACTTTAAGTTGTTGAAAGAGCTGATGCTGAAAGAATGTAATTAGCAGCATGCAGTTCTCATAACACTAAGGTGAAACCTCCTGTCTGTACATTGTTCTCTCTCAAGTCTTTGATCAGGTTTAGCAATTACGTGTCATCACTGCCAGAGTCTTACTGAGCAGCTTTGAAAGTGATAGAGACAGACAGCGAGCGATCTCTGGGTTTTGCACTTAATCTCTCCAAATAAAAGACTAAAAATAGTGAAGCACTGGAAACCCAAACCACAGCTGCTACCAGAATCTTCAGATGAAACCCTCGCACTGCTGCTTCACTCATTCCTCCAGCACAGCCGTCACGTTGCGATAGAAAATTTGATTTTATGTCTTTAATTTTATGTCTCTGTAGCGTGTGGTAAAATCCTTTTTATGTGTGTGTGGTTTTGTTTTTGAGTTTGCTCTTTTGGGTTGGTTTTTTTTTTGGTTTTTTTTTTGGGGGGGGGGGGGGGGGTGGGTGGGGGGGGAGTTTGCTATTTGGGTGAAGACTTTCATTTCCCTCTTAAAGTTACTGAGTTCTGACAGCTGTTCCGTATCCTTTATGCTCCCTGGTTTTGTTTGATTAGGTAATACGAAGTCAAAACATACAGTGTTAGAAGGAGTTAGATGAACTTCTCTGGAAAGCTGGTACTGACCACAGTTGCTTTCCTGTTCTCTGAGAAGAGCAGTACTTCTTTTTTTAATCATTTTTAATTGCTGCTTGAATCCTAGGCCAGCATTTCTTCCAGACCCAAACGATGGCAGTTTGTATACGCTTGGTGGCAAGAATAATGAAGGCCTGACTGTAAGTGTGTCCTTTGGAGATTCTCTCACAGTTCTCAGAGCAGTGCCAGTCAGACTCACACAAACCATCAGTCTCTGAAGGAACTTTCTGCTTCCTCAGCAGCGCTGGTTTTTATTGTTCAGTGGAGTTGTACCAGTCTTTTGGAAAACCTGGATCACAGCAAAGCCAAACGTCTGTCATATGTGCGAGTTTTTAGGCTGATCATACTCTCACGTTGTTTTGCTGTTGCTTTTGCTGAGCAGTAACATGCTTTCTGAGAATGGAACGTTCCCACCTTCCTTGTGACCGTCAGGAAATCCCTGTCACTTGAAAATACCAACAGCAGACATGTTTGTTTTGTCCACTCGTCCTGTTTAATTGAAACTTGCTAATGATGGTGACAGTTTACATGTCTGTGGTGTTATCCAAATAACAGGCCATCTCTTTACAGCCAGATGGGAAAGGTGTGCCCAAAGTGATACAAACTGGGTACAACTCTTTCACCTTAATACTTAATTTTCTAGAACCATCCAGCAGATAGGATTAATGTATGTTCTTTGCTGACACCTATAGAAGATGTGTTTTAGTAAGCAGACAAAAATGCTGACCCTTTCAGACACTCACCAATCTGTGTGACTCACAGATGTTGGCAAACCTTGGGCTTTTATTTTTAAATCTTGTGATGAAACTCATAAAATGTTTGGCTTTCCAGAGTTTTCCTTTCTCTGGAAGCTGATACAATTTCCTCTAAGAATTTAAATATTGTTAAATACTTTAGTATTTACTCACCACTCTCACTCCCCATAGTACAGCCAAATCATAACTTGCAGAATGAGCCCTGATTCTTTTCCTGGGCGAATCCAGGAAGCATCTTAACAAAGTTTCCTTTGTTCTGTTAATCTCCCTTCTTGAACTGAAGTAATCAAACTTCTATTTGGAATCACTGTTGTTACAAGTTTCACAAGCAAAAAAGGACTGATCTTTGTTATTAGTGTAGCTTGTCCATTACTCTTGTAGCCTCATCCTTATAAAAGTCTGTTAACAATAAGAATCTTCACCCATCTTCTGCCTGCAGTGCAGCCTTGGCAGTATCTCAGGAACTCTCTGGTCAGAGATTACTGCCTCACCCTGACGACAGTTTCACCTGTATGAAGTTATCTAGCCTTTACAGTTGTTACTGTAAGAGAAACATCTCACACCCCTTACATGTGAGGCAATTAGGCATAGTGTGCTGATGGTAGGCCTTAAAAAGAGTCTTTGCCTCCAAATCCCTCTGCTGCAGGTGGTCTCTTCATGCATTTCTCCTGCTGTAAGTCGCTGAGCCAGGCCTCTGGCTGTCGTGAGTTCTCAGAGGAGGGCCTTGACCTGAACTTTTGGGATATCACTGCAATAATACAAGCAAATAATTAAAAACTGTCATTTGAGATTTCCAAAGTTTTCCGGCTGCTCTTTTCTATGAACAAGAGCAAAGACTTACCACAGCGATGTAAAGAAGCTTTTATTGTTTTTCTCTTCCCCAGAAACTTCCATTTACCATCCCAGAGTTAGTGCAGGCATCTCCCTGCCGCAGTTCAGATGGGATCCTTTACATGGGTGAGCTCAAGTTAAAGCTTTTTTAAAATTGTCACATGTTCAGCAACCACAAAGTCCCCGGCAGACTACATGGGAATCTTTGACTCTGGGTATTAATTGTAGTTTTTCACAAACGTTTCTGATGACAGAAAATTGATTTGATATAAATTGAATTGCTGCAAATTGAAAAAACAACTTTTCCTGAGGGGGAGAACAGCTGTTCTGAGCAGTGAGCAGCCGATATGGTTGGGTTGTTTTTCCTCACTTCTATAGGTGCTCTCACAACAAAAAGGGATTTCTGCTTAGAGTCTTATGTTTGCAAATGTTATTGATTGTTTATAGTACAGTGATTGCATTAGGAATCTTACTGCAACAGGGTTGGACACATTCCACTACCCAAGATACAGTCAGGTCACTTGTATGTAATAACAATTTTGTGTCTGACTTGGCCTGTGTCATTCTAACTGCAGGTGGATTTGGGTTGAGGAAGGGAGGAGGAAGGGCAGTTTGTGTATGACAGCAGTAGATGTGTGAAGGATCAGGATGAACTCAGTGTTGCTTTTTAATTTGAAGATCCAGTGCCTACTTCTGGCTCTCCACTTTATGTTGCTCCATTAAAAGGGTGAAGAACGTCCACCTGAGCTTCTAAGCTAGACATGTCTGTGTTAAAGTTGAAGAACTACTTGTTGTTGTTCTTGTGTCTTAATAGGATTACAGTCCTTAATCAATTTGGAACATGTGGTCCCTCATCATTTCTTTCATCTGCTGTCCTTCCACCATAGCACCTCAGTGTCCTCTGCCAGCTCAGAGGGTTTTTTGCACTGAGAATTATCTTAGGAATTACATGGCCAGTTGTACTTACCTTTCTGAATACTGGATTCAGTTGTTGATGTCAGTGTTTGGAATTGGCCATCAGCTCTAAAAGCTGAACTGAAGCCTGACTGAAAGACACCGTTTTATTTAAATGCTCATTCATGCTGAGCTCATGAGCCTCCTAAAGAAAAAAGAATGAAAAACTTAACAGAAGTGCAGTTTTCCAACTGAAGAGTAACACTTAAATTGTGATTTCAGGCAAGAAGCAGGATATTTGGTATGTGATTGACCTCATGACTGGGGAGAAACAGCAAACCTTGACTTCTTCGTTTGCAGAAAGTCTTTGTCCATCAACATCCCTGCTGTATCTTGGGAGAACAGGTCAGATGCTGCTCTTTTCTGCAGCTCAGAATTTTTCCTTGTTGTTTTTGTTGCAATTTTTGACGATCAGAATGATAACAAATTACTTGTGATCGTGTTTTGAAGTTTACATCTTGAAATAAAGTCTGTAAATTACAATTTTAGATGATACTATCATTTATGATTTTAGACTGACATGAGTGTGTGCATGGATCGGGTGTTGTCTTCAGCCACTGTGGCTTCATGGTTCTTTATTAGGAGTGTGGGGAAAATGAAATGCAGAACACAGTGAGCAGCATGTGGTGTTCTGAGCTGTGTCTTGCATTTGCAATGATTGCTGCTATGCTCCAGAGGCTTTTTGGTTCACAAACTATGTATTTTTTAACAGAGTACACAATCACAATGTATGACACCAAGAAGAAGGAGCTGAGATGGAATGCCACCTATTTTGATTATGCAGCTACTATGCCTGATGAAGATGTAAAATATAGTAAGAATTTAACTGCAGTCTTTTCTTTTTCAGATATTGGCCACAGGCAATGTATACAGACAAAGCTTTTTTTTTTTTTCCATAATGAATAAGTTGACTGAATTTTGGAATTCATATCTATCAGTTTTTAGCCTTTGGCTTAATGTCTCAAGCCTGTTAGTTTCATGTCAACGCAACCTTTGAAGATATGACTCTTAAAGTGCAGTGGGAAATGGCAGGAGAGGAAGCAAACCTGAACTGCAGTGCACAGCCACTGAACAACTCTGTTGTTTTTGCCCAGAGTGTGGGACACTCACAGTTAGTTTGTCTTCCACAGTCGAGTTTACATTGAGGTTAATCAAATTGGAGTCTGCAAGGACTGCCTGTTTGCTCTCAGTCACAGAGCAGCTCTGCAGGGCTGTCTTCAGAATCCTGACACAGAACAAAGGATGGCAGAGCTTTCAGTCATTCAGTAAGAGACTTCTCAGTCGCTTCTCACCCATGAAAGCTCCCCTTTCGGCATATGCTGAAGACATGACCTGTGTGTTAGTTAATCTGCAGGTTTAGTGGTGAGGTCTAGGAGACTCGCTGTTGTACATGCTGAGGTGAGCTAAATGTGCTTTTCCTGCTGTCTGACTGAACCAAGCTTTTATCAGTGTACGTTTGACAGCTTTTCATTTCCAAGATGCAGTGAACTCCACAGTTATGCGAGGCTTGTTAATATGTGTTACTGAAATTGCATGTAAGCAGCAATCCAGATAATCTCCTATACATTTGTATATTGTAGAAATGTCCCACTTTGTGTCTAATGGAGATGGACTGGTGGTGACTGTAGACAGTGAGTCTGGGGACGTGCTGTGGATTCAGAATTACGCTTCTCCTGTGGTAGCTTTTTACATCTGGCAACGTGAAGGATTGCGGAAAGTTATGCACACAAATGTGGGGATAGAAACTCTGCGATACTTGACATTCATGTCTGGGGAGGTCGGACACATTACCAAGTGGAAATATCCTTTTCCAAAGGAAACAGAGACCAAGAGCAAATTAACGTGAGCATGAGTATTCCTGTTGTTCTCATTATCTATCAGTCAGGTTTTGACAGCGGCCCTCGCTCTCCAGCAGTGATTGTCTTTCATATTTGATCTTCTACTGTCTAAAGGCAGAGACACACAAAAAATCATCTACTTAGTAAATGTGTTCCTTATTTTTATCAGATGTTTAATGTTGACTTAATATTTTTGGATGTGGAGCCTTTCGTTTAGATGCTGAGCATTTGGCAAATATCGATTTCAGTAATTATAACAAATAAGAAATGAATAATTATGACAACTTTCATAAGTAAAATGGGTTGATCACAGCACTTCTGTCTATGAATCCGGGGTTTTCAAGAAGTAAATATTGATGATTTTGGAAATGGATGCATTGGTTGTGAATTAGGCTTTAGCTAACATGGTAAAACATCCATCTGTCTATTTCATTTTTACACACTACTTTCTTTCCAGACCAACTCTTTATGTAGGGAAATACTCCACGAGTTTGTATGCATCGCCATCGATGGTGCACGAAGGAGTAACGGTTGTGGTAAGTTGAGAGCTGCCAGAGATGAATGGCACCTGCTGGAAATTGCCTTTGCAGAATTAGTATTGCTCTAGGATGTAAAAAAACCAATTAAGTTGAAATTCAGTGCTTTGAGTAGAAAGACACTAGAGCATAATTTCAACAAAATGTACAGAAGTATTTTAAAGTGTGTTTTTCTCATTTTAAATGAGAAATAGCCTCCATATGTCTAAAACAAAGATATTTTGAATGGATCTGGAATTCTGAGATTGCTTCCATTAAAGCATGATGCACGTTCCTACATAAAATGGTTCTGCAAGAACCATTCTGTCCTGTAATGGAAGATCATGTGAACTGATGAAGTTTGTTCCAATATTGAAAAGGGCTCCATATTAAAATAAAAAATAATACTGATGGTTGTATGTTTGCAGAAATTAGGTTTTAAATTGCAAATTTGAATCGGTAAATACATGGCAAATTGAATATTTAATGAAACAATGGTAATAGGTGTTAGAATGCACGGCTGTCTTTCCAGAATAAGTTCAGATGCTGCAGAGATGTGACTGTAGTCATTGGGTCGTGTGCCAGGAGTCGGGCAGGAGTGAACCAGGGCCTGCTGTGCAGTATTGGTGCATCGTGGTTACTGTTAAAATTGTTGATTTTTTTTCTTCATCAAAATTACTCCCTCTTGATAGGAAGCTGCTCACAATGGCTGTCCAAACAGCAGATAAGGCTCCTGTTTCACTTTTCTAAAAAGAGAATAATCTCATCTCCTAGGCAACGTGTAGCTTAGAAGGTCTAATGTCCAAGGCTGCTGAAGCATTTGCTGAGGGCGTAAGGGGCAGTGTTTGCTCACGGCGACTTTGTGGCCAGTTTTTGCTTTCCCACCAATTCTGACCCTCCATTCTTTAATTTGCCTGCTGAAATATTCTGGAGATTCACTGCATTATTAATTGTAATGATAATCTCTCTTTCTAGCCCCGTGGCAGTGCCATACCCTTATTAGAGGGTCCAAAAACAGAAGGAGTCACAATTGAAGACAATGGCGAATGTGTTATCACTCCCAGTACGGATTTAAAGTTCTCAGGCAGACTGAAAGGAAAGAACAAACTCAGCTATTGGAACGACTTGCTGTTAATAGGTGAGGTCCCTAAGCCGTGTCTGCCTTTCAGGCAGGATCCACTGCCATCTGCTGGTGGCTGTCCTACTCCAAACCTTAGAGCTGTTCTCAACTGCTGTACTTCAGTCATGACTGCCTAAACTGAGACAGTTACTGAATTCTAGTAATAATTGGCACTTTGTTAGATATTTAGATGTTAGATGTTGCTTTGTGCCCTTAGAATATGCGTTGATGTTTTTAAGTAGACGTCTGGTTGTTGTTTTTTACAAGGCATCTGATCTGCTTCATTCAGTAAAGTGAACGAGGAGTGATCAGAAAGTTGTTTATTGCTTATTTTGCCCCTCATCCAGAGAGGGGTATAAGGCAGTTTATTGTCCCCATTGCTGTAAGTGCTGCATTCTGGTTCCTTCACATTTCTGTTCTCTTGTGCACAGTATTACTTTAATTCTCATTGTAGCCATCAGAGCATTGTCTGTCCCCCATTTCACAACTGTAAGACGTTGACGATCAGAATAACGAAGTGTCAGCCTATTTTGTGTGGCCCAGGTTCCAAAATTTCGGAGTTGACTTTCCAGGACACTTAAGAATTTTGCTTCAAAAAAAAAAAGCAAGCTGAATGGCAGAGTTCTTGAAGTGATACATGATTATAATCTGTAAATGCCGTAACTGACCTCTATGACAGGGACAGGAATGCAACTTCCAGCTGCCTTACCTGCTGCCTTTTCTTTCTGTGATGCTGTCCACTTCTCAGAGTATGTGAAGCAGCTCTTGTTGAACAGCTCTCATTTCTCCACTATGCTCTGCAGTGAATGATTTGTGCCCTCCATCTTTTCCCTTTCCTGCTCTATACATTATGAGGAATCTTCCTCTGTCTAATTGCAGATGTTAGCTCAGTAGATTCTTCCTCTTTGTACTTGGCTAACACGAGCCAAAGGAGTGTGAAGAGCAGTTGCAGTTGAGCACAGGATCAGTTCTTCTTCCCTTTTTCTGCAGTGTCATCCTTGGAACCATTTTAAATCTCAAATGTGATCTTTGCTCCAAGGCCAAATCACGAAGCAAAGCTAACTTGGGAAGGAGCCAGCTACGAGGCATTGTAATGTGTATTCCAGTTATGGTCACAGAGAAGCTCGTGAACTAAATGCACAGTCAGTGTTTGAGTAGAGACCTCTTAGTGACTGCATTCCTGTGCCTGTGACTGCAGGGGCAGAGCAGAGGAAAAAATGAGTTTTAAGCTCATCTTGTACTTTGATGTTCTCAGGTGTTTTGTATATCATCTTCCATCTACGGTCTTCATCAACATTTGAACACGTGTGTTTTATTTTAAGGGCACCATGAAACTCCTTTATCTGCCCCTACAAAGATCCTGGAGAAATTCCCAAGCAACTTACCTAGGAGGCCTGAAAATGTGATTCCAGCTGACTCTGATAAAGTCACTATTGAGAAGGTCTGTGATGAGGATAATCATCTTACTTTATGATTAAAGAATGTAGAGGAATAGAAGCCGTGGAGGGGCTTAGCAAAAAAGCATGTCAGTGTCCCAGTACCCACGAAGACACTGAACTAAAAGACCACTCTCTGCCTCGTAGGTTATTGACATCGTTGAAGGTTCTGCACCAGAAGTGCCTCCTGCTGTTCCAAAGGATATTGAGGAGAAACCTGCTCAGCCTGTTGCTCGGCCAGAAGCTCCTGTGGACTCTATGTTGAAAGACATGGCCACGATCATTCTCAGCACTTTCCTGCTCGTGGGCTGGGTGGCATTTATCATCGCCTATCCAATGGTAATGCTGACTTGTCTTGATGGGGTTTTCTGCTTTGGGAGGAGCAGTCGCATTTGAGAGCTAACCCCAAGAAGAGATACAGGAGTTAGGAAATACTGTAATTCTTTTTTTTTCCCCTCCTCACTTTAACTCCCAGATGTGCTGGGGGTTGCAAAGGCTAAATATCTGACAGAACAGTCTTTCCACTGCCATATGTGCCAATGCTGGAGATTATTTTTTTTCATTCTACAAATTCTGTTTTTTTGCATCTGTTAACTCTTTTTCACAGATATCGTCTTAACATCAGAGGCTTTACTCCCCATTTGCTCACTTGAACCTCTGTCATGTTTTCTGACTTGCACCTGCAGCAGGATAAAGGTGTTAAAAGACACCTAGTTAGCCTAAGTCAGCTTTTGCCACATTAACCAATCTGTTGTGATTGCGCAGCTTTGCTGTGAAAGCTGAGAGTGAAGATGAGAACATGAGGAAAAGCCCCTTTATTTCTCCAGCTCACTTAGCTGGCAGTGTTATAAGAAAGTTTTCCCCTGTCTCTTGGATGTATGTACTCTAATAGCTGAAGCGTTCCTTTTAAGTAAGGAATTTCAGTCTCTCACTTATGAACTGAGATCCTCTTTCAGAGTGTACATCAGCAGCAGCAAAGGCAGCATCAGCTGGAAGAGAAGATACAGCTCTTGCAACAACAGAAGCTGCCCTTCCGTGCTCCCAGTGATCTGCCACCAGAAGATTTCTTGGACACCTCCTATGGACAGACAGACAGCTCTGCTACCAGCACACCAAATATGTCGCCCAAAGCATCAAACCATTCTGCATATTCCAGCATCTCCACATCTGATGTTGGGAGCTGCCTTTCTACAGAGCAAGAAGAGGGAGGTAACGTAAATCTAGTGCGTTTGATTGTGAATGTCTGTGCTTCATATATAAAACAGCTGAAAAACGCCATCACCCTCATTTAGTCTGCCTGTGGCAAAACATCAGGCAGGTGTCCACGACTGACTTGGAGCAGAAATACTTGCTTTAGAAAAACATCCCGTTCAGAGTTGTCACTGGAGGGATTTTTGTTGTGCATGAGGATATATTATAAGCTGGAAGTGTTTCATATGAATAAAAATTATGTATGAACAATAGTCAAGGAATGAGTTCTGCAGTGTGCTCTGCCACCCCTGCCTCATCTTTCTACACAGTCTTTAGTCCCTCTGGAGGGCTGTGCAGGGAAACAACTACTAAATCCACTTCCTTTAATTATCACTGTGCAAATTCAACAGAACTTTCTAGAAAGATTTTATCTGCTGTCCAAGACATGATCTTTTCAGACTTACGTCAGGTGTTTTGTACTGAGTATGTTTGAAACTGTGAGTTGAATCACACACCAGGATTTCCCTACTCAGCACGAGTACCAAAATGCAGCTGTTCATTTCTTTTGATCATCTGTGTTGTGAATTTAATGTTTTTTTACTTCCAGCATTCTTCCAGCACAGTGCACAGTAGTACAGGGCTGGCTTGATCCATCCTAAAGCAGTCTTTCTGCTTCTTGTTTTCGTTTAGATGACGATACCAACAGAGTGATGGTTGGCAAGATTTCATTTAACCCAAAAGATGTACTGGGGCATGGAGCTGAAGGAACAATTGTTTACAGGTAAATGACTTGCATTCAGTATTTAACAGACCAATTTTTTATTGCATTATTTTTTAAAAAGCAAACAAACCCAACACCTATGGTGAACAAAAATACTTTAAAGTATTTTGCATGGTGTGTTTTCATGGTGTTTCTGCTCTAGCAAAAACTACTCCTCTCAGATATGTTTAAATGACCAAACGTATCTGCGTCCAGCGTGAAAAATACTTCAGTATGCCTTTGTGAAATGCCCTGTGTTGTCATTCGTTTTGTACCTTGTCCACGTTAGCCTTGTTCTAATAATTGGTTGAGGTGGCTTTCCTGTCTGCAGGGGGACGTTTGATAACCGTGATGTTGCAGTGAAAAGAATTCTTCCCGAGTGCTTCAGCTTTGCAGACCGTGAAGTGCAGCTGCTGCGAGAGTCGGATGAGCACCCGAATGTGATCCGCTATTTCTGCACGGAGAAGGACCGGCAGTTCCAGTACATCGCTATCGAGCTGTGCGCCGCCACCTTGCAGGAGGTGCTGAGTCTCCTGCAAACCTAAATGACTTTGAGTCTTCTCGCTGGAAGGCCTTCAGTTTCCCTTAGCTTCTGCAGCAGATGTCCCAGTTATTCTTGCCATCTGTGAAAGTTAAACGTTCCTAAAACAGGAATATTCTTAGAACTCCAGGAGTATCTCCAACCTGTACTGACCTAAGGGAAGTTGTTGTCCTTTGATACTCCTGCAAATCACTCTGTTTTAGGCATCCCTCTCCTACCATCTGGACCCTCAAAACTTGCTCCTGGAAAAACAGTGCTGTGCAGAATTCTAAGTCTGAATGATTTTATACAGCTCATCACCTTCAGACAGAAAGGCTAGTGCATGTGTATTCCCAGCTAGCATTAGACTGCCCACAGTTTCCTGTTGGTTTTTTTTTTTTGCATATTATCTATGCAGAAACTTACTGATTTGATGGCTCTATCTTCCATTTTTCTGTTGTCATGTACAGTATGTTGAACAAAAGGCCTTCAGTCACCATGGCTTACAACCTATTACCCTCCTGCAACAGACGACATCTGGTCTCGCTTACCTGCACTCCCTCAGTATTGGTAAGAATGACTTTATTTTCAGTACGGGATACAGACTGATACATTTTCTTAACTATGAAGAAGGAACTGGTCTGGTGCTGACCTGTGAAGTGATTGGCTTCCCCTAGTGCTGGCAGCACGCAGTATGGTCTGTCCTAGCACTAGACTGATTCTTATGTTCTGCCTTCAAAATTCTGCTGCATTTAGGGTAGCCATTACCTTTTGTTCAGAGCACTGCATGTTTTTGGAGAGAAGACATGCAAAGTGTGTCTGCAGAACAGTGACTTGTGATGGAATTAAAAAACGTGCCATTGACAGTAGTTTGATGTAATAAGCAGTGGTTCAGCCTTGTGAAAAATGTACAGTGCAAATTTACAAATTGTGTTGGGATTGCCTGGAGTGCATCAACAGGTGTCTGTTACAGTGCACAGGGACCTGAAGCCCCATAACATCCTCATCTCAATGCCTAATGCCCATGGGAAAGTCAAAGCGATGATCTCAGACTTTGGCCTGTGCAAGAAGCTGGCAGTGGGCAGACACAGCTTTAGCAGACGGTCGGGGGTGCCGGGAACAGAAGGGTGGATTGCCCCAGAGATGCTGAGTGAAGACTGCAAAGAGAACCCTGTAAGTGTTTGTCTTCCCTTCAGACCTCCCTGCGAGAAGGCAGCACAACCAGCAGGTTGCACAGCTGCAGACAGACCTTAAGATGTGCAGTGCTGGATGCCTCAGCACTCATGCTGACGTACATTAGCACTACCTTTTTTAAACTCTACTTCTCTCTCTCACCGTATGTCTGTAAGTATTTATTTATATGTAGCCATTTCTTTCAATTAGTAACAAGTCTTAAATAGCAAGATGTGATTCTGAGTTGTATGCAAATAACCACCTGATGATGAGACTCACATTCTCCACAGGAAAAATCTTGTTGCTTTTAATTAAATAATAAACAATTATTATTAATTAAATAATAAATTATTGCTTATTTGCAGACGTACACCGTGGACATCTTTTCAGCAGGCTGTGTCTTTTACTATGTGGTATCTGAGGGCAGCCACCCCTTTGGCAAATCTCTACAGCGACAAGCCAACATTCTGCTGGGTGCATACAGCCTGGAATTGTTGGATGCAGGGAGGCACGGTAAGAAAGGCAAACAAAGATCACTGCTGAACTCAGTGAGTATCCAGTGGGTGCTAAAATTGTCATAGAAAAGGCAAAACTGAAACCCACAGTGAAACCCACTTGGCAATGGTGAAAGCTGTACTCCTGCAGTGAAGCTCCTGAAGTTCTTAGTATTCTTCTCCAAAAGCATCTCAGTTAGTTGGAAAAATCTAGATTCCTGCAAGCTTGACAGTAGAGTTTAAAGGGTAGGAAAGATCTTCCTAATTGCATTGATGCAATGTAACCTTCTGTTGGTTGCCTACAGTATCTGTGAGGGTGTCATTTGAGCTCTTGCTTGGGATTGCATAGGAGGAAATAGGAAATTTAACCATTTTCATACAGAATATTAGCTTTCCCTGCAGCTTCTGAATGCTCACCCTTTTCCTTGCAGAAGACATAGTGGCTCGTGATTTAATAGAGCAAATGATAAACATGGACCCTCAGAAACGTCCATCTGCCAGCTGTGTGCTAAAACACCCATTCTTTTGGAGTTTAGAAAAGCAGCTCCGGTTTTTTCAGGTTTGTCTCGACCATCAGATCTTGAATTCACTGTTCTCATCCCTATTTTGTGCATGTTTGAGGTGACACAATGCAGGATAACATGTTGCCAAGCCAGTTTTTATGAACAGAGTAGACTGCTGTGGTGAATGTGTGTATTAAGCATGGGGTGGGAACTGCGTGAGGACTTGAGGTTCTTTCCAGTCTTTTCTATTCAGTGATTAAAAAGAAATACAGCTTTTGGCAGATAGTCCTCTGTGACTGTATTTCACCATCTTCATCCCAAGCATTATTCCTTGCATAGTATTTGTCCCAAAGTAGAATCACCTCCAATAGCAGGAGGCCAGAAGCTGTAATTTGAAATAACTGGGAAATGCTTAGGAATACCACTGAAAATAACTGGAGTGTCTCTTCCAGGATGTCAGTGACCGGATAGAGAAAGAAGCTTTAGATGGTCCAATAGTCAAGCAGTTAGAAAGAGGAGGAAGAGAGGTGGTGAAGATGGACTGGAGGGAGCACATCACTGTTCCTCTTCAGACAGGTAACAAATGGTGTCTTGTCAGAACGGCAGGGAGTTCTCTGTTATCCCCGGTTTGCACGGACAAGAAAGTAAGGACAGGGTCTCAGTTCTGGCAGTTTTTCCTTGTCACCACAGCATTTATTCAAATCATGTGATGTGTCTCACTCAGTATATGAACATCTCATAAACATACATTTCTTTTGAGGCCAGCAACTACAACTGCCAGCATCAAAACAAACGTTAATTTCTTTGGCAGATCTTCGAAAATTCAGATCGTATAAAGGAGGCTCAGTTCGGGACCTTCTGAGGGCGATGAGAAATAAGGTAAACAGTTTCTGCATATGTAAACCCAACAGACTAACAGGTTACTTGTGCATGAAAATACACCTTGTACAGGCAGACTGGAAGACTCCACCTGAGCTTTTCCCTGTTGCTTTGTTTCTTACAGAAGCACCATTACAGAGAACTGCCTCCTGAGGTGCAGGAGACCCTGGGCTCCATCCCAGATGATTTTGTACATTACTTCACAGCTCGTTTCCCTCACCTGCTCTTACATACCTACCATGCAATGCATATCTGCTGCCACGAAAGACTGTTTCAGCACTACTATGATCAGGACTCTGCAGAGAAGAGCATTGCAGGAGATGCTGTTTGAGAGCAGAGCAAGCTTTCTTCTCTGGAACCAACATTCCAAGCACAAGGCTTTGAAACAGGCCTACCTTTTGCAGGGAAAAGCAGGATCAAAGAGCTGATTGTCTCTTTGAGGAAACCAAGCTTCCAAGAAGTGCCTTGTACTGTGCCTGCACTGGATCAGGAGATAGTAGGAGACCAAGGAGCAATGAAGCTGCAAAAGCAATGAACCCTGGTGCTGGAGTTATCCCAAGGAAGGTCTCAGGATAAGCGAAGAGGGAGAGCAAAAGCTAGATATAACCATCATCCACTATCCCTATACTGTACTTGATGTTATGTTTTACTGCAAAGAATCAAAATACAGTAACTGAAATTATAGAATTACTAGGGGGTGGGACCCGCAAAAGGAACCTTTTAGTTGCAGCAAATCAGAGCCTGCCATTGCACTACTGCCACACTGCATTAGGCACACTGCAGTGAGGGGAGAGGGAATTGTTTTTAGTGAGGCAAAACCTCTAAAAAGACTCACCCTTGTTAAATCAGCATTACCTGGAAACAGAACCTCCTATTGGAGCAGATGAAGTTAGAAAACTTGAAAAAAGTTAAAGGCTTCGCAAACCTCACTGTTTTAATGTCAGCCAGTATTCACAGGAGAGCTAGAGCAGTACTTGACTTAAACCAGCATCTGCGCAAGTAACTTCAGGAGATACGCTGATGTCAGCAAGGAACTGCTCCTGAAATGGTAATGATTCACCCACTGCAAGCATTCCTTCCTTTCTTCTAAGGAAAAGGAGTGGCAGCTGCAGAGCCAGAGGTAAGAAATGAGTCCTGGGTAAAAGAAGCTGAATGGGAACTGAGACGTATCAAGCAGTGAATTGATAGGAGGAAGAAAGCTGCAAAGTTACCTCATTTTCTGCTTTATGTCCATGGGAACCTGTGTTTCTAAAGATGCAGTATTTCTCTTCTTTGGCCCTAAAGCTGTGACACAAAGCATCAAATGTGTGCGAAGAAATGCTGATTTCTAATTTGACAGAGGTGGGTGTGTGGTGTGCAATGTATTTATTTAACATATTTATATTTATTTAATAACTGTTTTGATACCACTTCCTAGTAAAAAGTGGTACGAGTACAAAGCATGCCAAATCTTCCTTAATCATTTTTGTGTTTATATTTAATCATATTATAACAACTGGAAAAGTTATACTGCATCTTTCAAAAAATTCATTAGCTAGAGGAAAAGTGGAGATTGATCTGGTTGTGCCATTGTGTCTCCAACTAATAAATCATGGACTGTTCTGTGTGTGAGCGATTGGGCACTTACAGTGACTGTACTGGAACACTTCACTGTAAGGTTTTTCCTAGTTTTACAGTGTATGAGAGCAATTTACTATTTCTACAGCCTAAAGAAAAAAAGTACTTTTAACTAAGGAGATTTAAAGCCTATTTCCTATTTTTGTATTTCTCATGTAAAGATCTTTTATAATTCTACTAAATAAAGACTTGTACTCTCATAAAATGACTTCAGTGATGATGTGTGCCTGGGGAAGTGAGCTACACTGCTAGCACACATGGATTAATGCAGGTTTCAGAACCAGGGCTGGAGAAGGTGCAAGGGAAGGGGAGCAGCACAGTCACACCAACCTCAGGTTCATATTTCAGCATAAAAAACCCCCCTTCCTGCAATTCAAAGCTACAGCTGTGGTGCAGGACAGGAGGAAGGGGGGCAGGGGGGAGAAGCAACAAGAAATAAAGGAATGCATATAAACATATATATACATATATAAATGTCCACACCACTACAGACTTGAAAGTCTTCCTTCTAACACACAAGGAGTCTTTCTTTTCAAAGGCACTCATCCTTACCTCTTAGAAACACAAGGGCCTTGATTCAAACTCTGCTTCACTGTATTACAAAGATAAATTACTATCTGACTTCCTCCAAACTAACAAACAGAAAAGCCAAGAGAGAAAAACCATACACCTGCACTCAGGGTGGCCCTGCTTTATTTACAAAACAGGAGTCATGGGGCAGATTAAATCCAGGCTCATCCTTTACATGCTCACAGTCAAATACCCCAACAATCTGACTACTGAATCAAATTTGGGAGAGCTTTAACAAGCCAGGTGACAAAGCTCCTGTCTTGGCCCCCCTGTAGGCCATCAGAGCACACCTGAAATAGTCTCAGACACTGCTGAAATGGCCTGAGGACAAACACTGCATCATGTCACACAGTACTGAAAATCCAGGATTTAATATTTCAGTATCTCAAGAAATTAACCTGTGAGTCCAATGAGTACGATTAAATGAGACCAACCTGCCTAGCAGTTATCCATGCAGGAGAGCTGCAAGGACAAACATCCTCATTTCTCCAGTGCTTTGCTGTTTAGAACAGACAGACCACTTAATGTCCCCTCCACTAGGTTTCATGAAAATGCTATTAGACACTTTCCCCCCAACATTCCCCTCCCTCTCCAACGTAATCTAATTTCTCTGTACAATCAGTTCAGAAAAAGGACAGTGGATAAACACCAAAAGTTAAATATTAAAAAAGATTCACTTACTTCTCATCTCCAGGTACAGACTGCTAAGTTCCTGAATGGTTTACAGAGAACGAGTCAAGAGTTATGGTTTAAATAACATGAGGGAAAGTGGGTTTCATAAACACTGTGAAACAGCTAACATTTCTTGCATTAATTTAAATAGGTCTCAAGATGAGAAAGAAAAATACACAGAAGCAGTGTTTTACTTATATTTAATCAGAGACTGTTTCAAAGCAGTTTGTATACATACATACGCGCAGTTATCTATGCCTGAAATACAGTTCACAGAAGGTTCCCAAGGGATGCCAATGATGTTTGCTCCATATTTTCTTTGAATCTTCTTTGTAAACTGAATGCTATAAAAATTAAGCTACAATTATTGGTGCCTGCATGCACTAAAGCAATGCACATACTTACCAGTCCTTCTGAAATCAAATTCAACATCAATATTTTGCCCTTGATCAAAGATCACTGATCGCATCCCCTTCATACCACTTACACAAGAGCTGCATCAAGTTACAAGAACATTCCTGACATACTGGCATCTGTAGCTGGGCTACTGCAGAGAGGGACACATTTCAATAATGTGCTTCACCTGAGGAAGGTAAACAGGAGGTCTGAGTTTGCTGCACAGTAACTAAAGTCTCCGAATGGGCAACCTGAAGTCATTAAGCAGAAGTCTGAATCAAAGTGTGAACTGGCTCCCTGTTCCCCACTTACTGCTTCAGAACTGCATCAGACTGTACAGCTGCTGTAACTGCATCAGAAGGTGAGCTACGTCTTAAGACTGCCCACTTGAATATGAAAGCTCAGATTCCTCCTGTTTTGTCCCATCTCAAAAGAAAATAAACTTAATTCTACCAAAAAATACTTCAACTGCCATAAAGTTTCACAGAGAGATAACACTGCAGTTCACACTAGGATCTATCCCAAAGAAATACAGTTTGTTGATGAAAAAGTAAAGAACCTCATTCATTGCCAAGCTGGGGTGCAAGTAGTGCAGGTCAGCATTCACCCATGGGCAGAACTGAGTTTTCAAATAGTAATCCAGCAGCCAAAAGCAATCCGTTACTTATTCTTACTTACAATAATTATTACAGTGCTCAGTAAATGAGGATCAACTACACAAGGCAGAAGGAAGAGGCACAGTCTGTTAAGATAACAGCCTCACAGCGAGGAATTCCTATTAAACATGCCATGAAGTTGTAGGAGACAGAGGCAAAGATAAGCTACAAAATTTATTATGCAACTCTTGTTTTCCTCTAGGGAAAAACACCCAAGCAAAATTATTGAAGTTTACACATCACTACTTTTGCAAAGCAATTCAGTGCGAATGCCTGAAAACCAACACAAAGATGCTGGGAGATGGGCTGTGTCCAACTATTACAAGCACTGGGAATCCCCTTGAAACCTCACCTTTCTTTGATGAGACCTGCAACATTACATACAAGTTCAAAACCCCCAAACAAGCAATACTGCTGAAGTGTCACTTCACTCTTAACTAGTGAAAAGCATTACGTGAGCCAGTGAAACGTCTGTCTGGGTTCTGCACTGCTACATCCTTGTGTAATTATCCACCAATGGTTTCCAAGAGCCCCTCAAATTCACTGTGTGATAATTCACTTACCAAGTGTAAGTTAAGGCACAGAGTTTCACAGCTTATCCAGCAGTGAACCTATCCTATGTGCCACAGCACAGAAGACTTTCATCTCCCACAGTGATGTGTGGAGATGAAGCATACGAGGCTTAACTAGAAGTGGGCCATAAGTGAAAGAACAAGCAGCTCCTGGCATACCAACTATACAGAGCAAAATTCTATTGGTAGCAACAATAATTAACAACTAAAGAAAAGTTACAGTACAGCTACAAATTCTTACAAACTGAACTGCTTATTCCCCAGCACAAGTATCCTGTAATTGGCTCACTGATAAAACTGCCTTCTGCAATAGGCAATGAATGGAGAACTGGCTGACTTTAAAACACCAAAGGCAGCCTGGCTTGCACATAGTACCTAATCCACAGGCACAGTTAAAATCATTAGAGACCTTCAAAAGATTATCTAGGTATTCACTCACTACTGAGCACAGCAGTAGGTAACAAAGACACAGTGACATTACAGAGATCAAAATTCCCTTTGTATTTAAAAGGTATCATTTGAACATATTATTTCAAATAGGAACATCAGGTACTTACAGATTAAACTAACCTGTACTGGCAGTGCTGTAGGATATTTCTTCTCTACCAGTAAGTAGCAAATGCTGAAATTCTGCTGCTAGTTGACAAAAACACAAATTGTATTAAACCAAGGAGTTCAACCCGTAATTTAGTTTTTCAATTAAAAAAGCTGCCGAACTTCAATTACTACAATTTGTCACTTATGAAAAGCATATGAAGCGAAGGCAACTATAAAATTACTTTCAATTTGCCTTTACGTTTCTGTTATTTTGATAACAAGCCAGAAGTTTAACAAGGTAACCCCACTGCCTAACACAAATAGAAAGGAAATCACAATACTTACATTGCCAGGGTCCTTCATTAAATACTCTCATAAAGTGTTTTCTTATTCTAGACTTTACAAATGAAAGAGCAAAATGTATTTTCTTCGACTAGAAGCTAAAGAAGTCAGTGCCTGCATGTATCACACACTTCTACAACACAATGGGGGGACAAAGAGAAAGAAAGAAGCTTTGCATGACATCTTTATTTCACAGCATTATATACTTCCCTAAGCTGGGACACTGAAACAGTTTCCATAGTTGTATGGCATAGTTTTTGGGTAATTCTAAGTTGCTACCATCCAAAACCATTTATAGATACCGATTACTTAAGGCAGCGGAAGTTGAAATTCAACACCTACCCTCTTTGAAAAGAACCTGGGAATGTGGTTAAGATGTAGGGAAGATTTAAGATAAAATTTGAGACGTGAGAAACCTGGATCTGCTGCAATGTAGTTACCTAACACACTGTAATGCCAACATGTGGATCATCTGCTTGTGGTTAACATGCTGCTTGCACTCAATCTCTACTGTTTTCTCAGGATGTTTCAGCTTCCCTGAGAAACACGAGCATTAAGGTATGCTCAGGACTTATCTGCAGAGAAGCTCAGTTCATCGTTATGAAGCGGCAGTGCTGCTGCCTGGTACTACTGCAGGTGAGCCTAAAGCAATAGAACAAGTCAGCATAAACTTGTTCAGAAGAGACAAGGTGCGTTATTACTCACAACAGAGGTCCGGTGCACAAATGTAAGTCCTCACCGACAGCCAGCACAGACTCATCAGGACGCTGAGAGCAAAGGAGTGAAGGAACCAGCCAGGAGCACACAGCTCAGGACGGGATGCTGCTGGCTGCAGAGGCGGCACGCCGAGGCGCCTGGCTCCCTCACACCTCCCAAGAACTTCCACGGAGCAAAAGAGCATTCACTATACAACAGAATCTCTGAGTTCTGCACTAGAACTGTATTTTCTTCCAGTAGAGCCTGAATAAAAATCTGCATTTCTCTGATAATCAAAAGATTGCATAAAGCTGCTGTTTAAAGGAGAATACAAGAAAATTATCAGAAAGTTTTTTTCAGAACTTCCCAAACAAATCAGCTCCATACGTAACACTTCAGCCACTCAATGAACACTCACTCCATCCCCTGCAGGGCTGCCTCTGAGACTTCTCACTCCCAAACTCCTGTTTACCTCACTTAGTTCTGACTGAAAATCGCAGCAGTCACTGTCACTGCATTTCTGAAGCAACTGCCAGCATTTCCTGGTAATGCTGCCTTGACTGCAGGTACATATGTACTTTTAAAAGGTAAGTTTGGAGATGGCCTGCCCTCACAGTACTACGGCTCACAGCAGTTATCAGGCATGGCACAGAATAGTTCTAAAGCCAGCCAGAACTCCTGCTGTGCTACGTACTTTTCTACGTCTCTCCTTCACTCCTCAGCACCAGTGGGCATTCCTAATGTTTAAGAAGAGTTATGTAGCACTCCACAATCTTAAAAACCAAGCTCTCCAAAACCTGCCTCCACTACTGCCTATGAAAGTCAATTCACTAAAATATGACAGTCATTAGAAATGAAATTCCACAGTGCATTATACAGCTTTATGACACTGCTGCAATACTGACAGCACGCACTGGAGTGCCAGTAAAAATGCTGCCAACCTTCCAAATCAATAAATTCCATTTACAGTGTAAGTTTCTTTTGGTACTACCCTCCTTAGATCCACGAGGCATGAAGGAGGTCACCAACAAAGATCCACCAAAAGAATAAGATGTGAACCCTTTGCCATCTATGGGAACTTTTCAGGTTGTTTTAAAGAGACGACAGGGCAGCTATTCTGACAGCTGAGCAGATACCTGCACCTTGTCAGCATGCCATCCTTTGGACTAGAAAGACAGCAGTACTCTGCACACATACCTTTTAGGACGAGGCACAAAGCAAACGGAAAATGCACATCATTAGTTGCTGTAAATTTAAGCACAAACATTAGTCTGTGGTAACAGGTCAGAGTAACACGGATATAGCCTGCTAAAAACACCAACACCCAAACAGGGAACAGGTTGGTCCTGTCCAATCCATGGAGACTTAAAGAAAAGGACAGCGATGTAAAGGGTAGAAGCAAAGAATGTTTGAACAACAGGAAAAACCTGGAGCAAAAAGCCTCAGTTCATAAGGTATTGTCATGGAATAGCAGTACATGGAATTATCCTGGAGTCAAATGCATCTTTCAGAAGCAGTGTGAAATTCATTTTCTTGAAATTTTCCAAAAGCTTTAAGAAAAAAAAAAAAAAAAAAAAAATCCATAGCATTGTGATGCTATGAAGTGTCACGTGGTGTGTGAAATCATGCAAAAAATACAAAGAAATGGCTCATCTGCTTTGAAGCATCAGTACACACAGCTTGATCAACAACAAGGGAGACAGGAACTGCATCCCTGGCACATACTTTCCATGAACATGTAAACCTACTTAGCTCCAATAAAAACAGAAGTTTGCTTTGAGAATGTTCAGCTCTCACCAGAATATCAATGTACTGAGGTAGCCCAAGTGGATTTAAGTAGGGCACTTCATTTACAGACAATGAAGCACTTGTGTGAACTTCAGCTACATGTTTGTGACACAAGCTAAATACAAGTAGCTGCATAAAAACTACCCCATGCTGCATCATTCTTACATGAAAACTGATGACAAAATTCAACACAATCCATCCAAAATTTGTTGGTTTTTTTTCCCCATCTGGAGTCTTTCAGAGATTCAGCTACTTAAAGAAGTACAAGTCATGCTGAATACTTAGTTAAATGGCTTCTTTAGATACTCTGGGGAAATAAGAACTAAGCCAAATGCTCCTAGAGACTGAGTAAGTGAAATAATGACCAGTTGTGCTGGTGTATCTTAAAGCACTGTTCCTAAGTGTAGCACCACAGTAAGGAAATGAGCAATTACTCTGAAACAGTAAGCAGAGGACACGGCAACTTCCAGTCAGAGACTACTTGGGCCCCCCATGAGAAATCCACTCCTTATCCTTCAATGCCACTTACTGAAAATCTCCAAGTGCGTCATTACTGATCCCACTCCTGGAGAAATGAAATACAGATTGTGCTCCACAAAAACATTAACAACTTCCTTGGACAAAACTTGCTCTTCTGAAGCTCTCTTTAAGCCACCTCAAGCATTCAAAATCAGCATACTCCAAGTGAGCAGCACCAGTTTGTCTTCACAAAGGGTGGAAGCTATTCTGCAAAAGTAGTAAATTCAGATAGCCATAACCTTCAGCAAATTTTGGATATGCAACAAGCCCACGTGGTTTCAAGAAAGTAAGATGATTTTTTTCCCAGTACACTGATGCAACAAATTACTGTGAAGTTCAGTGTATTTAAGTGATCAATGAAAAGGTTTTCCTGAAAGTGACAAGCTGAAAGAACTTCAGCTTTCTTTTCTCATTCTTCCATCGACTGGAATCTCTAGTTCTTTACAGGGCACTACACCAACATTTGCTGTGGGGCAGCTTACAAATACAGCAGTCAATGTCCTCCTCCATAGCAACTGTAATTTAGGCTGCAAGTCTGTGTGACAAGGGATGTCACTTAGTTAAAGCCTAAGTATTTCAAGCACTTTGTTAAATACATCTTCCCAGAAGAAAAATTAGTAATTAATCTGTAGTTTTTGAACCAGCAGCATGTATAAAAAGTCACATTGTCAAAAGCAGAACAAATACAGCACAAATAAAACACAGGGGAAGGGGGCAGGGGTACAGTGTGGCTGAAGGACTCCCTGACCAGTCACAAAGGAAATGTTCCATAAGTGAAACAGTACCCAAACCTCTCAAAACACGTTCCCTCCCCGAGACTCTTAAAAAAAAACAGTGATAATAAAAAGATTAATATTAATATAGAGCCCATCTACCAAAAGAGAATTAAAAACCTAAATTAAAATAAAAGTAGGGGCCTTCACCAAACTTGCTGCAAGTTTGGGGACATAAATATCCAACAGCCATAAAGCTGTGAAAGCCCCCAGAACGAATAAAATAAATCCCACTTGCCTCAGACTGAACAGGGCAACACTGAGACTCTGCCTCAGCCTGTCCTATGGCAGGGCTATAGGAAGAAGAAAAATTGGAGTTTTAGAAAAAACATGACCCAATTAAGTGAAAGACATGCATTCAAAGTTAACAAAATTCCAGTGATCAAGCAAACCAAAGGAAATGACTGCTACATCACCTATTTTGGCAGGCTCACGCAACCGTTTGTAGCTATTTCTCACCTGGACAGTTTGTTTTGTTTTGTAACTTGATCAGTGGAACAAAGCCAATTGTTTTGGGGCGATTCTCCCCTAACTGACAGTACTGAGTGCTCCAGTTCACCAAAAGAAGAGGGAAAGACTCCATCAGCCACTGAATGTGTTCACACTCACCTTAATTTTTATGTAGAAGCTAGACCAGTACAATTATTAAGACATTTACTATTATTTTTAAATAGTATTAATTTTTAAATTGCAGCCCCAGCTCACAGACCAGATATCAGTCTCAGCTTAACTGAAGAGCCAGAATGCCCTTCTTGCTGTTTAGAAAACTGAGTATTTAATTTTCCATCTCGTATTCCGAATGCTTTGATTCTGCAAAGTAACTCCAGGTTACAGATTCAATTTTAGCCAAGCTTTAAGAGAGCAAGTGACATAGCTGTATTTAGGTATCACTCAGTAAGTCCATATGGAAAACAACAGCAGAAACCATAGAAGGCAGATGCAGCTGAATGTCCTTCTAGAAGCTTGCTTTTGTTCTCTTATGCATGCACAGAGCAAGGAACAGTAATCCACTGAAATTATTATATATACATCCCAGCCTCAAATGTATTATCAGCACCTAAAAATCTCATCTCTAGAAGGAAAAAAACAAACTCCAAGCATTTTACAAAATAAAGACTTTCTGGTCCATATACACAAGATCAATTTTCAGGAATTTATTTAAAGCAGACTTTGTCAAAGTAGAAAGGTATCCTAAGGACAGAAGAAAACAATCCCAGCAAGCCTTCTGATGAACTAGTCTGAACTCCTCTGAGATTTCCTCATGTCAGTATCAGACATCCAGCTCTAAAATTCAGCAAATGTAACAAGATAAGCCTCTCTCTCATAATGGTATTGAGAGACCATGTATAAACTGTTCAGAACTTCAAGATATTCCTACCTTGCCTTAACATCTTTTACATCTTTTCCCCACTTTGTTCAGAGCTTTTTCCTTTTTTTTTTCCCCTCTAATTCAACACTGGCACAGCGTTCAAATTTAACTGAAGATTTTGACCCAACTGCAACATCTCGTTTTGCTATGAGAGCTGCGACAAGTTCAGACAACAAGGAAAAAACAAAGCTTCTGCCTATAGTTCTGTCATCACGGTTCCGTAACACAAGATATGTAGTCCTGAACACTGCTGCAATCTCCTTCTAGGGAAAGATGAACTAAAGCAAAAAAACTGCATGCTTGCGCTCTATCAGCAATTTTGCATGCACAGCTTTGTTGTAACTTTGTACTGTAGAGTTTTTATACAAGCAATTATTCAAAGCTGTTTTACCCTTTTTGGGAAGGGCACCATAAATCCAACTCTCTGAACGTTAAGAAGCAGTATCCAAAGAAATGAAGGCAGGGACCAACAGACAACAAACGCACAGAAGTACCTGCCTGTTTTCAAAGAGTACACCAGAGACACAACAGTAACTGCAGACAGCTACATTGCAGCTCTTACAGCACAGAAAGGACAGGAGCAAAGGGAGTATCCAAGGGAAGATCACAAAGAAAAAAACTTTCAACTGCTTGTTGCATATTATTAGGGTACAACATGAGTAATACATGGCAGAGCTCAGCTGAGGGTTTGTAACAGCATTACTACTGAGGAAAGCTCCATTTTAAGATGTGTTCACACTCTAAGCCTAGGTACTATTAGCTACTGAATGATTCTATTATTGGAAAAAATAACACATTTATTATTTGATGGGGGGAACTCCTGGTGAAGACAACTTGCAGAATAAGCTACGTTCACAGTACATGCAGTACTCCTCTCAACTACATTCCCAGGAAAAGTAGGAATCTGAAAATAACATACCAAAGGGTTACAGAAAGCCACCAGAGGGAGAAGGCATTTACTTTACTAGGGGCAGGAAGGCTAAGCATTCTTACAACAGCAATACAACCTTCAGAAAAAGCAAGAATTTGCAAAGTTCTAAAAGCAGAAGTTAAGATCAACGTATAATGTAAGAATTCTATGTGCAATATTACAAGAGATAAATAAAACACATTAAAGATCTCTCTAGTGCTTTGCTCCAGGTATCCCTATTAGATAAACAGAAGAAAACCAAGTAGTAAACTAAGGTAAACCAGAATATAAAAGTACTGTGTAAGCGTAAGTTCTGTTAGACTTATGCATAAAGCAAGATGAAAAGCTAACAGAAGATCAGACATCAAGGCCCACTCAGCACATCTGCAAGCCAAATGCTGCACATCTGACAGGTGAGCGGCAGGCAGCAGTGATCAGAGAGAACTGCTTCTCAACAGAGGCTTGGAGTTATGGGCTGAAAACAACACTTCAGGAAAAGCATGACAATTCTTCATGGTTCTACAAAGGCCGTTAGCTGGCATCAGTACTGGATGTGTCAGTGCCTTTATGACGTGTTGTGACACAAAAAATTTGATGCTGAGAGACTATGTAGTATTCTAACCACACTGTACTTCTGAATGACTGCAGGAAGCACTCATTAAAGCCACGTGGAGTACTTAAGTTTAGATAAAAATCCCTCAAGTCTTTCAAGTAAAAGAGCCACAATGCTCAGGATTGAGTGGGAAAAAAATATCCATCAATAACAGAAACACTGTGGAACTTACACTGACACAAAAATGCTGACATTCCTTCTAGCACACCCTAACAGAGACAATCCCACAAATTAAATTGCACGGATAAGGCTTGAGGCTGGAACATGTATTTAAAGTTGACCTGCAAATGGAAAATTCACCACTCTCTACTTGCTGTGAAGAGACCAGGAACGCTCTTCTCACTTCTCTTCCCTCCAGAACATCGCCCTCTGCCTTCTCCTTCTCATCAGAAACACAAAATGCTAACACAGCCATGTCAAACATGCAGAGAACTACAATCTGGGTGGCCTTCTATAACTTTACTTATAAACAGATAAATAATTTTTATGGATAAGACTTCTCTTTTATAACTGTAAGTAGGAGCACTGATGAGGAGGCCACTTCCATTAATTGCCTCAGGAAACTTGCGTTGTATCACATCAGAGTACAAAATGGACAGTTCATCCCAAGGAATGATGAAATTTGAAGTTCTGAGTATTGTGGAAGTGGAAATACAGCACACATTATTCTAGACCCCCCTGTCTCCTTCACACACCCTGAGATGAAGCTCTTTTTTCTCTTTTGCAGGTCAACTTCAATACAAAAACTGGAAGTCACTCACCCATGTGACATGCACCTAAGCTTCTAGAAATCTCCACCTAAAAGGCTCTTGAAACGGGTATCCTTTTGAACATTAAAAAGCATCAGATGAAGAATGACCTAACAGGACAAGTCTGGCACTAGGATGCACCTTGCAGCAACTGCTTTTACATCCTGCAAGTAAACGCCAGGCTAGAAATCATTTAAAATTTACTGAGGACAAGAAAGCACGGCTAACGAGACATATGCCATTGGGAGAAATTACAACCAAGATCGAAGATGTGCCTCCTGCACTCTCATTTTTCAATAGTCAGTTAATAAGTGTACAGGTCTTGCCTACTCAGACGTGCACCTAAACAACTTTTGTAACAACAAATTCAGCTTCATGAAAACAGCACCAGTGTGTTCAGTACACCAACAGCTACCATGGCATGCATCTGTACAAACCTTTCAGGCAGTTGTCCGCAGCTGGTCATGAATAAAAAGGCATATAAATTTTTATCTTCTTTTATTACAATGAAGTTTATAACAGTACAGAAAAGTCACACGACCTTAGTGGGTCAGTTTACTTGAACCCTGAAACAGGAGGAATTCTAAATACATTAAATATCGTTACATGTTCAGACTTAAATGTACAAGTAGTTGGGAACAGTTACAGCCCTCACCAAACTATGTTGGGGACACGAAGTCCAACAGCACCTGAAGTGCTGTGAAGGCATCATTTCACAAATAGCAACATAATGTTACAGAACTTGCCTTTAAGGTGGTATGTTCATGTAATTCCAGCGCCTTCACAATTTAACGAACCATATTTACTATACTTCACTTCTAAAAACCTAGATGAAACATGAAAAAGAAGCCATACAGTATAAATTGCAACATCAGGAAAAGTTCCTGTTAATATTCCAAATAAATTTTCCCATGTAAAATAAGAATGTCCAATAGTTCCTAGTTGCCTTGCATGTGGGGAAGATACTTTTTTTTTTTTTTTTTTTTTTTTTTTTTTAAGTCACAATGAAGCTTTAATTGACGGAAGCTTGGCTATATTAACAGCACTAGATGAGAAAAGGTTTAATCTCCAAACCTATTAGAGCGTGTGTAGTAGCATCAGTAGCGGCCACCTTGCGACATGACAGGAGGTCTCATTCCCATTGGAGGTCGAGGAGGTCCACTTTGGTACGGGGGCACCATCGGAGGTCCCTGACCATAAGGAGGCATTGCTCCAGGAAGGTAGCCTGGCATGCCCTGGTGATGAGCACCATACTGACCTACAAACAAAACATTTAAGATGCAAAGTATTCTTTTTTTTTTTTTTTTTTTTTTTTTTTAAATGGGCACAGCTGCATTTGTGAAAAGCTGTTTTTCACAGCACCTGACATTTCAAAATTAAAAAAAAGATGGCAAATAAATCTTTCAAAGAGAAGAAAATGCAGAGATGTCTAATTACCGTGTGGTGGCATTGGAGGCCTCATTCCTTGTTGCTGCGGAGGAATTCCAGGCTGTGGTGGCATCATACCTCCAATTGGTCCAACAGGTGGATTACCCAGGGAAGCTTGTCCCGGACGAGGAAGATTACGCTGATACTTGGGCAACTGAGCCC